GCGGTCAGGGGTGCTGGATAGGGCATGGGAGTCCTGGGGGGCCTGTCAGGGGTGTGGATAGGGGTTGGTGCAGTCAGGTGACAGAGAGCATGGGGGGGGCGGGGTTGGTTCTGAGGGGTCAGTCGGGAGGTGGGAAGGGACTATTAATAACAGAAATGCTTGAGCCAAAGCAAGTTGGATATAACACTGTTTCACCTATAACGCAGTAAGATTTTTTGGCTCCCGAGGACTGTGTTATATCAGGGTAGAGGTGTAATTCCCAATTGGAGGAGGATCAGAAGCCACCTCCGAATGCCATCAAGAATAGTTATGCCCCTCTCCGTTTAGAAATTCAAAGCTTTGTGGGAACTAGGGAGGACCCTTTGGCACCGATCCCACACAGAAGAAGCACCTCCCCCCAACATGTAGGGTTGCCAGACATCCAGTTTTCAAGCATAATGCCCGGTCGAAAAGGGACCCTGGCAGCACCACATGGTGGAGCAACAGGGGCCCCCCAGGGCTAAGGCAGGCTCCATGCCTGCCCTGGCTTTGTGCCAGTCCCAGAAGCGGTCACCAGGTCCTGCAGCCCCATGGCATATGGGTGACCAAGGAGGCTCCCTGTGTTGCCCCCACCCCCAGCGCTGGCTCCGCAGCTCCCATTGGCCTGGAACCATGACCAATGGGAGCTGCACCTGCGGGTGCGAGGGCAGCACCCAGAACCCTCCTTGTGCCTAGGGGCCGCAGGGACCTGGCGGCTGCTTCCTGGGAGCCATGGTAAGCACGGCCAGGACCCTGCACCCCAACTCCTCTCCCAAACCCCAACCCCCTGCCCCAGCCCAGAGTTGCCTCCCACACCCAAACTCCCTCCCAGGGCCCGCACCCCAACCCAGTGCCCCCTCCTGCACCCCAAATCCCGCACCCCCAGCCAGGTGAATGAGCGAGGGTGGGGACGTGCGAGGAACAGAGGGAGGGAGCGAGAATGGAGCGAGGGGGGTGGGGTGGGGCCGGAGATGTTTCGTTTTGTTTTTGTTTGTGCCATGAGAAAGTTGGGGCAACCAACCCCACGGACCCGGGAGGGAGGAGGGTCCGAACGCTGCCGCCGCGAGGTTCCCCGCGGGACCTGGGCGGTGCAGCGCAAAGATAAGAAGTTTTTGGAGCGGGGGTGGTTGGGGCTGAACGGCTGCTAGGCCGGTCACGGGGACACGGCGCGGCAGGGCCGCGTTACCTTAAATGACGCCACCGCTCTGTCGTACGCCTTTATCAGGGCGGTGTCATCCCAGATGTCCGAATCGTCGCTCTGTGGGGGGAGCGGGGACAGGAAGTTTTACCACCACGTGCAGCCCGCGCCCGGCGTCGCCCCCCGGCCGGGTCAGGCCGCAGCGGCGGTCACGGGGTGTCGGTTGCGGGGAGGGCGGACAGGGCACGGGGCAAAAACCCGCCCGGCCGGCACGGCCGCTAATGGCCCGGGGGCAGCGCGCGGGGAGCAACCCCCGCCGCCAAGCCCAGCCCGGCCCAGCCACGCGGCCCCGCCGGTCCCACGCGCCTGAGGCGGCCCCGGGCCTCCACCTGGTGATGAAACGCCCTACCCCGAGCCGCGACCCCTGCCCGAGGCGAGACCCGCGCGCCTCCCGCCAGTACCTGCCCGGCGCCGCGTTTAAACAGCACCGTCTCGGCCCCGGCGTGGCCGGCCATAGCAAAAGTTTGACCGGTCGGTGGCCTCTACCACTCAGCCAGCGCGCATGCGCGGCCCTTCACACGCGCCGCCCCCCCCAGGGAGTCGTGGGGTGGAGCTTGATGGTCTGCGGCAGCTGCCTCTGTCGGCACGTCCAGTTACCACTGATCCACCCCCTTGCTGCGGACAATGCGGGCTGCCTGCTGCCCCCTCCAGGCCGCTCCCGGCGCCGCACGAAGAGCCACAGCCGCTCCTCCCAACTCCAGCCCTTCCCCCACAGCAGGGTTGGACGCGGGGCTGACGTGCTGCCCTCGTTTTAACAAGGGGTCCTCCAAGGATCTTCTCAGCCCTTCCCCCTCCCCCAAATGAGTAGGGGTAATTTATTCATTTCCTATTTACATGAATGTGCTTTTCCAAAAAGAGGCAGGAGCACAGACAAATTCACCCAGGGTCCAAGTGCTCTTCTGCAGGACGTTTTATTTTCTTCTGGAAGAACAGACTAAAGGCATCCTTAGTATAATGCACTGCTCAGAGTGTATGATTTTAAACAGGGATAACAGAGATGGAGAGGAAATTTAGGGGACTGTCAGGTATTTTCCCCAAAACGTCCATGGAGCAAGATGGACATCTTAGTGCAAGAATCAGAGTCAAAAATTCAAGAAATCAAGACAGTTTAGGAAGTTCTGTGAGGAATTTCAGGTTTTGTATTTATGCAGAGGTGAACTGCTTATATAAACCACTTAATGAGTGCTGTAGCTTGACAATGCCTGTTTCACTCCTGCAAATATTTCCAGTTCTGAATTTTGCATCTGGCATGGTGGAAGAGACCTAAAATGGGTACTAACCCTACTTGTTCATAATATGGGTAAATATTAATTTTACAGAGCATGCTTGTGCTATTAGTACTGCTGTCAAAACTGCCAAAACTTCCTTGGAAGCAAATTTCATTACACCATTTCAGGCATTCCCTCCCCACCCTGAACTGTGGGGTACAGATATGGGGACCCACATGAAAGACCCCCTAAGCTTATTTCTAGCAGCTTAGGTTAAAACTTCCCCAAGGGTCAAATCCCTTCTTGTCCTTGGATGGTATTCGTTGCCACCACCACATGAGTTAGACAAAGATTCAAGGAAAAGAACCACTTGGAGTTCCTGTTCCCCGAAATATTCCCCCCAAGCACCTTCACCCCCTTTCCTGCGAAGGCTTGAGAATATATCTTCACCAATTGGTAGAGGTGAGCACAGACCAAATCCCTGGGTTTTCTAAGACAGGAAAACCAATCAGATTCTTAAAAAAAACAAAACAGAACTTTATAATAAAGAAAAAAAAGTATAAGAAGCACCTCTGTAAAATCAGGATAGAAGGTAATTTTACAGGGTAATCAGATTCAAAACACAGAGAGTTCCCCTCTAGGCAAAACTGTAAAGTTACAAAAAACGGGGATAAACCTCCCTCTAAGCATAAGGAAAATTCACAAGCTAAAACAAGATACTCTAACACATTTCCTTGCTCTTGCTTACTATTTCTGTAAAGTTAGATGTATCATTCAGTAGGCACTAGATTACTTGCTTGGTCTCTCTCTGTCTCCAGAGAGAGCACACACAGCACAAAAACAAAGCCCCCCCAAGATTTGAAAGTATTGTCTTTCCCCATTGGTTCTTCTGGTCAGGTGCCAACTGTGTTAATTGAACTGATTAAGGGCATTCTGTACCTCTAACTAAGAGGGATTTTATATTACTGCATGCATAAAAGTTGTTACCCTTCCCTTTATCTTTATGACACACCATTCTTGCACTTTGGAATTAACATAGGGAACACTACTTCTCTGTACAAGGATGATGGCATGATTATAGCTTTTTGTTGATACTATTGTACTACTTTGATAACACAAGTTGTTGGCCAATTATTGATCTCTTTTATTGCCTCCTAGAAGAGATGTAAGAACAGTGGTAGAACAGGTGTAGATTACTCTATCAATCAGGTGGAGGCATAGAATTCCCCCCCTCTCCCCCCACAAGTTACTGGGACCTGCAACTTCCTCATGCCATTTCTTTATATTCATGCAGGGAAGAGGGAGTTTCTTCAGATCTAGCACTTTCAGACAAGCTTGTGCTTCATTTAAATTGATAGTTATCCTTAATAGAAGATCTGGCAGATTGTCTAGAGAGCAAGACTTGGAATTAGGCTAACTGGTAGTTCAGACTACTTTCTATTTATTAGTCTACTACATAGGCATCAAAAGGAAACTAGAGTTTGCATAATTTGAGGCATATATAGAAGGAGCAGTGAAAGCTGAATGACAATGAATAATTTTGAACCCCCCCCCGGCATGTATATATGGGTAAAACTAGCTTTAAACTCCTTGAAACCCACCTTTCCTACTCCCTAGAAAAGCTAGTTCGCTAGAGTTAACCTTACACTCAGTTCACTGCCCCCCTCAGCCTCTGCCGTACCTATGAAAGGAATCCCTCTAAGGCAATTTACCTCATTGTACATAGCATTTTGTATGTATATAAAGAGAAATGGAGGATTGACAGTTAAATGCATGTTTAAATATTTTTTTAATTGCCCTCCCATGATTTTTCTAAACTAATCTCATTTTAATGAAAGAGTTAGTGTTCAGATTTTTCTGAGCAGTAGTTCTCCTTGACTTTCAGTTGAGGGTGCTCAGAAAAGTAAAGGAGTTATGGCTATAGATCTGTGGTTATGAGGTTGCCGCCCTTCCCAACCAGACAGTGTTTTAACTTGGTGAGGCTAAACTAAAAGTTTACAAGCCAATATACTATAATCTTTCCCAGAGGACAAGATTGAACAAGTGATGCCAGATTTTAGTCTTCTGAAAGTTACTGTTTTGAAAAGTTCATTTTCTTGGTCTTACAGTGCAGATTTCTTTTAATTCAAGCCCAGTAAAAGGTTATCCACTGTACCCCATTTCAGATTAAACGATACTTCATGTGACATTTTATTGTAAAAATAATTTAAAATGAGATTTACAGTTCAGACCTTTACAAGTTTGAATACATTGTACAAAGGTATTGGGCTTTTAAATTAGTGTTCCACTGTGAATGATTGTTATACTTTAAGGGTCACAAAGAAGGTAAACTGGTCTAACTGTGGCTTTAATAGTGTAGTCACACAAGCCATTCAGTGAAGCCAACATTGTTAATAATGAAAGGTGCAGTTAAGCTATAGCTACCATTACTTAAACTAGGCTTATTTGCATGCCTATAAGAGCGCTTGCAATTTTTTTGAAATAAGTATTCTAGGTAACTTAATGAAGTCTTGGTTTACTCAGCCTATACGAACCAAAAATTCTAAATAAGTGCAAATTGAATAAGTCTACAAGTATAAGATAAACATTTGCCATTTAATGGTAGGCCACTTTTACAAATAAGTGATATTTTAGGCCCTATAACTTGGTGTACTGTAACATTTTAGGCTATTTATGCAGCCACACACTATTTTGCTTCTGCCTGCAGAGTCTTCTTCTCATTAGCTGCTTTCTGCTTTTGCTGCATGATTTCAGAGTCTCTGTAAAAGACAGATATTTAGTTAGAAAAATAGTGAGTTACTGAAAATATTCCTTGACTGTTACTATAGGCTTCATCTTACTTTCTACAGGTTACTTCCATTCTTGCTTTTCAACCAATGGAACAAAACCACATGCAACAGCATATAATGGATCAATATTTAAGCTTAAAAGTGATCAGGACAATAGATTGATAGCCCTGCAGAGGCCCAGCCCAGATACCAAGTCTACTTGCCTGCATTTTACTACATGAAAGAACTATTGATATTTTATGTACCTGTCAACATTCATCCTGGATGAATAGATATTTCCAAGGTAGCACTGAAGTTCTAGTCTGATACTTCAGCAGACAGTGCATACAGTAGATGAATCCAAGCTCCAATATTTAAACCCATTTGAGGTACCAAATTTTGAGTTTGCCAATACTTGGCAGAAAATGGAAACCAAAGCTATTTGGTATAGATATTCCAAAATCCAATCCACAGATTATACTCAGTCACGTGAATGAGCTATATATAGATCAAGCCCCAACAAATAGGTTATAAATCCTGTCTCATATGTTCAGTAAAGTCAGGAGTCGACAGCTTTTTACCTGGTTGTAACACACAGGGAAAGCATCTTTCAACCTGTAACCCTTAGGTCAAGAGGATGTCTCTCTAATTTGACTGGCTCTGAAGACAGCTATTTACTGGACCAATTTCAATTTGAAAGTGTATTTTGAGACAGTTGCTATTTAAATCAAGGCTGATTGCACACTTTATAGTTAATTCTATAGTACAAGGTAGTATATTAAAGTCTTATAATTCAAGACCACTGTGGTGGCCTTGAGTCATGTTGTGACCAGACTTTACAATTAATTTGTTGCTTGGATCTTCGTTTTTAAGTACAGATTGTGTTTAGTGTGATGCTTCCCCAGGGGTTCTCAGGAGCGTGAGGCACCTCACCACTAGCATGAAATAGTCTGGTCTGTGCCTGCTGTAGATCATCTCCCTGAAGGCAACAGCCCCTGGCAGCACAAGCACTATTTTCCAGGCCTCTGCAGACCTTGCTCTCTGTTCAGGTACAGAGAGGCACACCCCAGTCCCCGAATACTTGGGAATGTTCCCTGTAGCGTCCAACCCCTAATCCACTGAACACTTACAGAATTACCGGGACTGCTATTCTCAAAGGAACAGTACACACTAACTTCTAAGATTCAACTCAGGAACATCACTTTGCTTAACACCACAGCACTTAGATATAGCTACAGTAAAACAAGAAAAAGTTTATCAAAGACTATAGTAAAGTGGCAGTAAGAGTATTGGAAACAAAGAACAAAAAATTGGGCTGTTGATTAATTGCAGTTAACTCATGCACTTAAAAAATTAACTGCGATTAATTGCACTGTTAAATAGAATACCAATTGAAGTTTATTAAATGTTCTTCTATATTTTCAAATATAGGTTTCTATTACAACACAGAATAGAAAGTGTATTACAAATATTTGCACTGTAAAAATGATAAATTTGTCAATTCACCTCATACAAGTACTATAGTGAAATCTATCGTGAAAGCGTAACTTAAAAATGTAACCAAAAAACTTACGTAACTGCACTCAAAAAACAAAACAATGTAAAACTTAAGAGTCTACAAATCCACTCAGTCCTACTTCTTGTTAAGCCAATTGCTAAGACACAAAAGTTTGTTTCCATTTTCAGGAGATACTGCTTCCTATTTACAGTGTCACCTGAAAGTGAGAACTGGCATACACATGGCACTTTTGTAGCCAGCATTGCAAGGTGTTTACATGCCAGATATGCTAAACATTCGTATGCACCTTCATGCTTCAGCCACCATTCCGGAGGACATGATTCCATGATGATGATGCTTGTTAAAATAAAATTGTGCGTTAATTAAATTTGTGACTGTACTCCTTGGAAGAATTTTATGTCCCCTGCTCTATTTTACCCGCATTTGGCTATATATTTCATGTTGTAACAGTCTGGGGTGATGACCCAGCATATGTTGTTCATTTTAAGAACACTTTGACAGCAGATTTGACAAAACGTAAAGAAGGTACCAATGTGAGATTTCTAAAGATAGCTACAGCACTCGACCCAAGATTTAAGAATCTGAAGTGCCTTCCAAAATCTGAGAGGGACAGGGTGTGGAGCATGCTTTCAGAAGTCTTAAAAGAGAAACATTCTGATGCGGAGACTACAGAACCTGAACCACCAAAATAGAAAATCAGCCTTCTGCGATGGCATCTGACTCAGATGATGAAAATGAACATGTGGTGGTCTGCACTGCTTTGGGTCGTTATCGAGCAGACCAAGTCATCAGCATGGACACATCCTCTGGAGTGGTAGTTGAAGTATGAAGGGACATATGAATTTTTAGCGCATCTGGCGCGTAAATATCTTGCAACGCTAGCTACAACAGTGCCATGCGAATGCCTGTTCACTTTCTGGTGACACTAAACAAGAAGCAGACATTATCTCCTGCAAATGTAACCAAACTTGTCTGTCTGAGCAACTGGCTGAACAAGAAGTAGGACTGAGTGGACTTGTAAGCGCTAAAGTTTAACATTGTTTTGTTTTTGAATGCAGTTATTTTTTGTACATAATTCTACATTTGTAAGTTCAACTTTCATGATAAAGAGACTGCACTACAGGACTTTTAGTAAGTATTTTTCAATTCACTCTTTTTTACAGTGCAAATATTTATAATAAAAAATACAAAATGAGCACTACACACTTTGTATTCTATGTTGTAATTGAAATAAATATTTGAAAAGTGTGCAAAACATCCAAAAATATTTATAAATAGTATTCTATTATTGTTTTACAGCATGATTAATTGCAGTTAATTTTTTAATCGCTTGATAGCCATAAAAATAAATTTAGTTTTTAGAAAGCGCAAGTTATTCTTTAGAAACTCTCACCCAAAGTAGTCCAGCATTTTCAGCCAAACCTGGTTAAGACCCTTTTTTCCCCATGAAGCAAAAGCACTCTCCTTTTACTCCCCCAATGAAGGGTCCCTGGGCATCCCTTCTGTCCCCTCAAATATACTCAAGCAAACCTTTGATATGCACTTCACAAAAAGGCCCCCCCCTGGTGTTTTTCTTCCTGTTAGTTTTATCTTACAATCCTTCATTTGTATTCAGTTCAAATGAATGGTAGGTGGACCCACTGTGAATGAGGCAATACTCAATTTATAGATAGATGAACAAATCTCTCCTCTACTAGGTTAAGCTGCTTTTCAGACTGAAATGGCTAATTCCTTGTTTAGATAAGAAAAGTATCCACGGTTTCGACTGAGCTGGTATGCTGATTTACTCTCCACGAACTACACTCTTTAAAAAAAAAGCCTCAAAGCATGTAAGAGGGAAGGAAAAATATGAAGAACTGCTCAATCTGAAAGTTTTTGTTTTGGCACCTCAAGTGAATGGCTGGGGAGGTACTGCCACTTCCCTCCTAACAAGGGGTCAAAACCAAGGACTACAGTAGAACCCAGAAGGGCATTTGAGGCCCACCCATCCACCCAAGACAGATTCAAGATCAAGAAATACTGAGGGGAAGCCAAGTCTGAGTAACCTAAAATATGTGCAGATGTTCAAAATATAATCACAGTCTACTAGTATCAAGTAGGTACAGCTTATTTGCATGAGCAGAGCTTATAGAATACCACTCACCCTCCTCTCTGAGACCTGTGTACTAGAGCTTACCTTTGTTTTCTCTGAGACGCAGACAAACTATCCTCTTTCCTTTTCCCCTTGAGGACCTCCTGGGTTTTCTTCAGATTTTTCTGGCGGGCAAGTTCACGCTGGTTCCCACCTACATAATATTCAAGTTTATATATGTGCTGTAATTTCCACTTCCTTACCTCCACTCTTGTACACAAACAGTAATTTAGTACCTTAAGACCAAAACCAGTAAAAAGCATTGCTAAAACTACCCATGAAGGTTTTCCTCCCCAAGTTTGGATCCAAGAGAAATTCTGCAAGGCAAAACAGCGAGTCTGGTGTAAAGCAAGGAGGTGCTAGAGCTTCACAAATTTAACAGTGAAGAGAATTTAACATTTTTTCCCTAACCTTGCTCTGAAAAAACAGCTACATGTTTTTTGTTGAAGTGTTCCTAGGAACTTCAGTTTGAGGCAGATGTGGCATGGAAAAGTTCTGCCAAATATAAGCAGTTCAGGCTAAGTTACAAGTAAGCTTGGAAGGATCAGATTTTTATTGGTGTCAGTAAATGTTGATTTCACCACATGTACAAACTGACAAAATTATTTCCAATGAGAATAATCGAAGTTTAGGTATGTAGTCTGATGATCATGTATTTAAAGTTTTACATGTCCCAGGACTCTAAACCTGGAAGTTCACTATATAATGAAAGTTAGGACTGCTCAGTATAGCAGAAAGATCTCCAGGCCTGCTCTGCCGCTTCAATTACTATTTTAGAATAGATAAGGAGGAATGTACCAATGCCCATTGTCACGTATTAGCAAGTACTTTTGATTTGAGGATGACGGGAGTACAGAACACATCATCCATGCCTCTTTTTTACCTCAAGTTATGCATACTATACAGTAACTCTTCATAAATAGACTGAGACAGCTGTGTCTCTGATTGCATAAGCCTGCAACTTTCCTTTCAGGCTGGAGGGCATTTGCCTGAGGAAGTTTAGTTCTTAATTATGCAATTCTTCCTTGAACTTGGATCACTACAGTGAATTTAAGCTGCATGTTTAGAAACTCTGAGCTCAACTTAGAGCATCTCACAAGTTGAACTACAAAACAGACAACTTCAGTAATGCTGAAGATTAACTTGTTTCCAGGAGAAATGAAGAAGTTGCTCTAGAGTTTAAGAAAACTGTAGTAATGAATGTCTGACTACTACTGTGACGTTTCAAACGCTGTTAATTTTTTGCCATTAATATAGTCAAGTGACATTGTACCCCCCGCCCCCCCCCCCCCACACCCCTGACTTTGAGCAATATGGATTCCTGCAACACCTCATAGTACTGCTACAGTACGTTTGATTTTTTTTAGTTATGTACGTAAAAAAAGAGGGCACAGTCTGGCAGTGGTAAGAAGTATGGCGCGATTACATGCTCAGGGGCCATTTAGGGGGAATTTTATTTGTAGCCTGACAGCCAACAATGGAACGTTGAGCGCCAGACCTGACTGATCAGCAGCTCATCACAAACAGCCCTGCAAAGACTACCCAGGAGACGCTGCTGTGCTCCGAGTTGCCCATGTTTTTAAGGCTGGCTTTAGGGACACCGTTGGGGACCCGGCTGTGAACAGACCCCTTGTTTACAGCCACCGAGGTTTCGCTCCAGAAATACCCAGTTGTACGTGGCGGAAAATGGAGCCATCAAGGCGCGAGGTCGCACTACGAACGCCACAGATCCCCGAGTCCCGGACGCCCCGTTAATCCCCCGCCAGGCCCCTTCCTGGGGGAGCCCCGCACAACCGCCGCTTACCCTAGAGGCCAAAGGAGGCCGCGGGCCCGGCCGCTCCTGCAGTCAGACGCTGGGTGGGGCCACTATGGCGCCAGCTCTGACGAAGCCTGCGGGGCTCACGGGCCCCGGGGCCTTCACAGCTCGGCGGGGAGGCTCCGGAGCGAGAAAGAGGCGCCTGGAGCCTGAATTACCAGGACCAGCCACCCTCATGCACGTACCGGGCCCGACCCAGAGCCGGCGAGTAGGGGGCGCGCTCGCTGGCCGCCGCCGCTCCATCACCTAGGCCCGACAGCGGCCAGCGAACGCGCGGAGCCGGCAGAGCCGTTCCCGACAGGGCAGGGCCACTTCAGGTTGATACTCACGGGCCATGGCGAGACAATATGCCGGGCGGGACGCACAGAACCTGAGCCGCAGCTACTTCTCCCGAGCGCTCCGACAGTTGCCAGAACCTTCTTCAGTCTCCTCCTCAGCGCCCCCCGCCGACGTGGCTTATATAATGACACGCCTCGGTGATGTCACAAATATGCCGACGTCACCAGCCACCCCCACCAAGATTAGAATTAGCCGGAGCCTTTAAGCGGGGGGGGTCGTTAACATTGCGCATGCTCAGTTAGCAGCATGTCCAGGCTGCTGTTGCTCTGATGGACCTCGGTAAATCTGTTTCTCACGAGTTTGGAGATCAGCGTTCTCAGGATACTTAGGCTGTGTCGGAGTCTCAGGATATTTGGTGTGGTTTCCACCCCTTCCGCCAAATTCCAGGAGGCAGTAACGTCACGTGCTAGCTGAAAGCCCCAACTTTTCTGTTTTGGAAGTAGGTTTTTGTCCTGCCTGGTCGCATAAAAAAGCGTGAACATATAATCCCAGTGCACCCGAAGGTCTCAAAAACCAGAAAGCAAATAGAGATGTTTTGAGCCTTTTAGGGAACACTTTGGGTCCTGTTTTCAAATATTTCTCTTCAAACATGAAGGCTTTTAAAAAAATTAGAACCGCGATTCTTCATATCACAGAATTCCAGGTACTCGGACTTAAAAAACACACTAAATATTTCAATAGTTAAGATAAAATGGTGAGTGATGGTAAATTTCTAAAATGTCAACTGGAAGTGCCCAATGTTTACTTGTCTTGCAATGTAGAAAATTATGGTGCTCTAACAGTGCCAGGTCCAGTCCTCCCATGCTAAATGAGAACTCATTGCCAGGAATTCAGAGTTAATCGGAGGTGATTTTTGTACAATTTGAGAAAAACAATATTTTAACATCACATTTAATCCTTAAACAGGTAATATAATTTACCTAAAACTAAATACGAAAGCCCAAAAAACTAAACTTCATAAACCAGATGCCCCACATCATTGCAAATTATAATATCTCTTTGGGCTGAAAATATTATCTGCTTGATTCTCAGCTCTTGGATTTAGAATTATTTTAGAAATGTAGTACAAAATTAATTCAGCTGTTTTTGAGTTACTAGAATATGAAAAACTGTGGCCCTGACCTTGTAATCAGATCTGTGCAGGCAGATCCTTACAACTATGCAGCACCCCTTTGATTTCTCTGCACAGGCAGAAGGGTTTGCCACTCCTGCACAAGTTTCATTATAAAGTTGGTACTTTAGGTCCCAAATCTATAAACATTTAGGCACGTGTTTAACTTCACTAATGTGAGTAGTCTCAATCAAAGCAATTGGACTGCTCACATGAGTAAAATTAAATAAGTGCCTAAGCACTTGCAGGATTAACACCTACGCTGTTCAATGAGTTTTGCATGAGCAGATACTTGTAACTAACCAAAATCATGAAGGCAATGGGGCTCTGCATGGACACAAGAAACTGCCTGCATGGATCTTATTGCAAGCTCAAGATGTAAAATTATAAATTTTTTGGTTGCAGGGACTATTTCTTATTATGGCCCTGATGAACTCTGTGTAGTTGCCAGGGTCTGCCCATGCAGAGTTCACAGCAAGAATGAGGCCTATATGTGCAGAATGCCTGGCACAATGGTGCCCTGAACCTGACTGAGGCCTGTGTACATGACTGTAATACAAATAAATAAAAGTAATTCCAAACTACAGAAAATCTTATTTATTGACTGCAGCATTAAGTCTGTCACAACAATTATGGTCCTCAAGCAGCAAAGAGTTCCACATGGATGCAGGAGCTTACTTATATGTAGCTTTTTGCTGGACTAAGCCCTCTATTTGTATCTCCTTTAATAGGTTATTGTGACGAGGCAGAATAAATGCCTTTTTACTGCCTTGAATTTTGGAGGGTTTTTAATAAGGGTCAGGGCATATAAAATTTACATGTTATATAAAACCCATCAGTTGATTTTATAAATAAATAAAAATTAAAAAAAATAATACTTTACAATTCTATAATAACTTTCATCCCAAAGCTGTTCATCAAGCTACTGGTCAAATATTGAAGTCAACTCTAGGGGGCAGGAAGGTAATATTTTGGCCTGAGATATTGGTAAAAACACCTATGAGAAGAGAAGACTTTACGAGAATTTGGATGGATCATCTCTAATATTCACACAGCTAAGATCTGGGTTTTAAGAGCTCATCTGAAAGATACCCCTTTCCTCACTCCCTACTGCATAGAAAACAATGCAGTCTCCCATTTATCTGTCTGAGGGGTTGAATTACGGGGTAAAGGTGGTGCTATCTTTTAAAGCTCCACCAACAAAATAAAGGCTTGTCTACATGACCAACTAGTTTGTGGCTAGCTGGGCTGTGAATCTACACCCAGTAGCAGGCCACTGACCAACTGTCCATATGCACCCTTCTGATGTACGTTAACAGGGTATACTTTGATGCAGTCCTCTTTGAAAGTATCAGCAGAGTGCACTTAGTGTGTCAGCAGCAGGCTAGTATGTTGTAGATTCACACCTCAGCTTGCCGTGAACTAAATGTTCATGTAGACAAGTCCTAAACCCTGCTCATATGAGTTGTCAAAATGAGACATTGCTAACAGTAGATTGTGAAGAATTTCATATGATTGTGCATGTTCTCTGAGCTCTACTGCACTCCTTGAGCTTGGCTCCCCCTGGTGGGGTCTGAATATACCTGTGCACTCTACTGGATTCCTTGGGCTTGGCTTCTTAATTGGGGAAAAAATTAGTATTAAAATTTAAATTATTACTGTGCATGTGCATTAACACCTAACTGAAATGAATGGGGTAGTTAATGCCTAGGAGAGCTATGTTATTCCAGGCTCTCTGCAAACTTATCTCCATTTCAGTTACACCTGCTTGCCATTTTTGAGGTTTTCTTTGCAACAAAAGCTAGAGATATTTTTTTTCTAAATGGAAGCTGAAATTCTAGAGAAAAAGATGGAAGCTTTTGGAAGAGTACTGTTATGGTGTGTTACAGTGTTTCAGCTCCGTCTAAGACCTGAAGTATGGGAAGAATGAAGGAGCCAAGGCCACCTTGATGGCATCTGAGGCCTGGTGTTGCAAAGAGACAAGCTTGAGCTAGTGCTTTGGATGCAAATACCCTCTCAATGAGTGAGTGGGCAAGTGTGAAGCTGAAGCCTGGGCTTGGCTCTGCATTTGGTGACTAGTTCCTCTATGCCACTTTGAGGTGTTCCCAGTATGGATCCAAATTTAAGTCCCTACCCTGCTGGCTGTTCAATGGACGTGGTCCCTGCATCTGTTCGGAGCAACCTGCAGAATATATTCCTGGGGGAATTCTGCACGACTGCGTGCATGCAGAATTCATATCCTGCAGATTTCTTTGCTTCCCCACAGAAAAATGACTTTCTGATGTGGAAGCAGAGGGGAGCTGCAAGAGTGGTCATGAGCCCCTCCCCAGCAACACAGGCACATTGTTTTGGGTGCCCAGAGTAGCCAGCGGAGGGGTAAATCACAACGGGGAGTGGGGGGCACTGGGGATGGCCCGGCCAGTGACTCCTACCCTGCAATGGGCTCAGTTGCTAGTCCTGGATGGGCTGGGGTTGGGGGCAGACAGGACTTTCTCTTCCCTGCAAAGAGTGGCTGGGAACCTCCCCTGGCTGCAGGAGGCTCTGCACCCTCCCCCTCCCTGCCTCCATCACTCCTCAGCCATGGGAGGAGCTACTCCCCCATCCGCCCAACCCCTGTACATCTGAATCCCCCCCCATTCCCTCACCCCCACCTGAACCCCTACCCTGCTGAGCCTCACTCCCTACATCCAGAGCCTCCATGCACCTAGATTCTCCCAACAAGCCCCCTGCACCAAACCCCCCCCGCTGAGCTCCCTCTGCACCTGGACCCCACTCTTGGATCCAGACCACCCCTCACTGAGCCGTCTGCACCTGGACCCCCATCCCATTAAGCCCCCCCAGCACCCAGATTCCTCAGCTCAGCCTCCATGCCCCCCCCACTGAGCCCCAACCACCTTCACCTGAACTTCCCCTACAGAGTCCCATTGCCCTTGCAAATGGCACCCCCCAACAAGCCCCTATGCATCCAGATTCCCTCTGCACTCAGATGCCTGCACTGAGCAACATGCACCCAGATTGCGCCACCCAAAATCTTCTCACCCCACATCTGGATCCCCCCATGCTAAGCCTCTCCACACTTGCATCCTGGTGGACTGACTACCCATACCTGGTGTGCATGGTGCGGAGGGGTAGAGCCCCCGGTATCTTTCTGGGGCAGGCCCAGCCCTTGTGCTGTGTCAGGTTCGGGTGCAGTCTCACTGCTAAGTCCATGTCGCAGAGAGGTGCGGGGGCTGCAGGGTGATCTCCCACCTCTATGCAGCCAGTGGCCTGTGCTTCCTACTGCCACGCTGGAGCCTCCACATTTATTGACGAATAAAATTTGTAGGATTTTGGAATATTGTGTACAGAATTTTTAATTTTTTTGGCACAGAATTCCCTCAGGAGTAAAGCCAGTTTATGGCTTTGCCCCAGGGATTGTCAATCGCAAAAACTTGAAAACCCTGAATAAGAACCCCCTCTCTCCTCCCAAAATCAGAAGACTGGCTTACAAATGAGATTTTAAAAATATCCATTTTGGAGGTATTATTTATTTGCTTTTTTGTATGAGCCCTTTTCAACTCTGTCAAAACACAAAGGCTAGAAAAGTGACAGTTTTAAAGGAAAGCTGAGATTCTCACATCACAGACCTCCAGGCACTGGGGAGCGTGCGTATGTGGGGCGCGCTTTAACAAACACCCCATACCCCGCGAGGCACAGACTCGCGATACACAACACTTTTTGTCCCCTCCGGCTCCCCGTCACTTTGGCCGCAATCTCCACTAGTTACGGAAGGTCTAGCGGGGGAACACGCTCCACTTACCCCGCCTTCTGACGCGTCACGTTGGAACGTAGTTTTCCCCCTGCGGCCAGTCGCAGGTTGATGACGTTTGGCTGCGCCAGGCCCTGTACACGGCGGGGAAGGGGGACCCGCACCCGGTGTGCGGCAAGTGACATGAGGCGGCGCCGCCGGAGAGGGGACACTTGGCTCTAGCGTTTCCCTGGCCGCGAGGGAGTGACCTCCCCCCTCGCCGCTCCCAGGGGCCGGACCGAGCTCTTTCCTCCCGCGCCTGAGCGACGGGCTCGGGGAGCAGCCCGGCAACATGTTCCGCCGAGCCAGGCTCAGCGTGAAGCCCAACGTGAGGCTCGGGGGTAGGGGCGGCGGCTGCGCCCCGGCGGCCCCGGAGCCGCAGGGCGGCCAGGATTCCGCCTCCCCGCCGGCAAGGAAAGAGCCGCAGCCCAGCGCGACAGCCTCTCCCGGAGCCGCTGCCGGTCCCCGCCCGGACCCCCCGCCCCAGCCGGAGGGGGAACAGCCGGGGAGCAGGTGAGTCCCGCAACTCGCGCTGTGTACCGGGGTCTGCGCGGCTCTAGCCCCACCCAGCCGCCGTGGGCAAGTCTCGCCGTCAGGAGCTGCCCCAGCTCCGTACAGCCCCGGGGAGCAGGACCAGGACCAGGACCAGCAACCGCTGGGAGGGCGCTGCTTGGAGGCTTCAGTCCTGTACAGGTTCTCAGGTATCTGGAAAGCTTTGGGAGCTGCCTACCATCATGGCCAGCAGTCTGCCTGCTCTTGCCCTCCACACCGCGCCTCACACCGCAGCTGCACGCACCGTGCTTGGGAGCTGTCAGGTGTCCAACGCCTTCTACGCGTCTGTCTCCCTTTATTTCAGGAGATATTTTTCCTGTCTGAAGGTGGTTCCCTCGTTGGCTTGGGTTTGCCGTGTTTGAAGTTGCCAAGTACATATTACTGCAGGATGAGAGGGCACTATTTGCTAGGTCTAAGATAACTAAAAATGCAACCAGTGCTACGCCTTGGTTTAGAAATAAATGGCTATATAGGTATTTTTTGTACATAATTATTCTTTCTTTATGTTATAGTCCCCAATCCTGTAATAAGCCTCATGTGGAAGGGCCTCCATTGAAATAAATTGATACCTGCCTAGGTGCGGGGGTTTAATATTTAAAATTTGTGGTTGAAGTTAGTACTTGGAAGTTTAGTGTTGATTTCCCTAGAACTGAATAATTTTATCTTTTTCATAAGTACAGACCTTTTTCTGTTGTTATTAATCTACTGTTTTATTGCAGTGGCACATAGGAAGTTATATCTTTTTTTCTATAACATCTTAGGACACTAGAGCAAGTATTAAGAAACCATTATAATAATGATTCACTCTGGAGCCAGATATTACCTTGATTTGCACAGTTCTCATTGAAATCAATGGTGGAGGTCCTCAGAACACAGCTCAAGGAAAGTATACTGCTCCTAGTTATGTAACACTGAAATTTGAGGGGGGCCATTAAAAAACAGCAGCAGCAAACGGGTGTTTTTTTTTTTTGTTTTTTTTTTGTTACCAAAACTTGGCTGTATATCTATGAATTAGGATGGGCAACACTTTCTTGGATTTACACCTAGAGTTAAAGAAACAGTCCAGATTAAAATTGTTAAATGTTACTTAGTACTTTGTCCATTTTAAAGTGTCTAAATGATTTTACCACAGAGCTTGAAAAATATACCTGACATTTTGTGGAGTTGTATTTTATTAAGACTTGACATTCCTGGTACTTTGAAAGTTAAAATACAACCAGGGACTCACCATCCAGGCCTTTTTATATATATCATGTAGAACCAAAAAAAAAAGCACAATCCTCATTTAAAAAAAATCTTTGCAGTTTACCTCTGCTTTATCTTGACCAAGCAATGATCAGCAGTTGAGGCACTGGAGTGGTCTGCAGAGCTGGAAGACAATAGTACATTGGTTTGCACTAGGTTCATGTTGGGAATATTGTCTTTGCAACCTTAAGTGTTAGAAACTTAGTTTCATTTTAAACAAAGATTGACTTCCTGTAGAAACTAATAGTACTCACCTAGGAAAGGCTGCAGACTTTTTGTACACTTAGCATAGAATAGTGAAAGTAGAGTAGCCTTTTGTCGGTTTCACTCTGGGTTTTAAGGAGTTACAGAGTGATATAATATTTGAGTTGCAAATACTGCAGAGGAATTTAAATTAAGCCTTTTTCCTGACCCCTAAAAATCATAAAAATGGTTGTTATGTCTGAGTTTGTTAAATATTTTTATACAATTTCAATTTTGGGCATAAACTATTCTCCAGTATTTTATTACTTGGTGATCTATGAGTGTGTTGATATTGAAGGTAAAGAGCATTCCATCAAAAAACAACAACAAAAACCAGTCTGAATACTTAAATGTTAATCACTGTTGCTAAAAACTTGTTAATATTTTGAGGTCCGTAATTTTTGGACATAAGAATCAATATTTTACTTAATTTATGAGGCAACATTCAATATGTCTTGGCTTGGTTAAGTATGGATTCTTGGATAAGGTTCTCAAAGTAATACACTTTTCTTTAGTACTATATTTAGGCTTTAGATGTGCATGCTTCAATGCAATCTTAAAAGTAGCAAAACTGTCATTGTAAGAGTAAGATATTTGTTTTAATTTTCCATAGAGATGAAAGGACTGGTGCTGCCAATGATGATGGAGAAGCTAGGAAACCTGCAGATACACCTTTACAGAGAAGAAAACGAATATCCACTATGCCTAATCTGGCAAAACCCAGAGTTACACTTCCATCTGCACAACGTTCAGTATCAAAGTCTTCTCAAAAACAAGTACCTCAGTCTGTTACTAATGGTAACTCTTCACTTCAGAAGGAATCCTATCCATCAGAGAAGAGCAATACAGAAAGCTCTCCAAAGTCTCCCATACTGCCTGAAAAGAAAACACCTGTCCCACAAGTGCCACAGTTTTCTCCACTTAAAAAATCAGTGAGCAAAGAGCCAAATGTGGGTGTAACTGCTCTCAGAAATGACGAAATCCTCCAGAAGAACACACCCTGTCCTCTCAAGGAGAGACCTACCCAAGGAAGACCTACACAAGAGGAAATGCCACATACAAAACCGCCTCTAACAAAAGATAAACAAAAATGCTCAGACCGTGAAAGAATCCTCAAAGCTCAGAAGTTAAGAGAGATGCTCAAAGAAGAGCTGAAGAAAGAGAAAACGGTAAGGTCCTGCTTTGGGAATTTTGGGCGGAGAGGCAACAAAAAAGGGGATCAACATTTGCCTGATCCCTGAGGGTCAATTCCAGTAGGTAATCTATGATAACTGTGATGTCAGCAGCATAGTGCTGGCAGCCTATGATGGGGTCTAGTAGCTCTTGTCCTATCACAGGAGTGAGTGTTTTTGTATAAAAATGATTTTTGTGGTGGTGTTGGTCAGGTGATTCTACTAATGGACCTTTATGTGACATAATAATACTCCTGCTAACATGCCAGCCAGAATGCTTACTATTTTTACTATGTATTTTTATCATTGGTAAATACGACAGCGGGGGCTGAGAATTGGGACTCTTGTGTTCTGTACTCAACGTTGTTATTGACTCAGTTCTGTTACGTTGGACAGCTCACTTCTCTACTATTATTCTGTTAACCAATATCCACCATTTTATAGTTGAGCAATCTTATGGGGATGTTAAAACACTTAACTATTAAACCTCATGAGCCTAATGAAAACTGAATTCAGCAGCACAGTGTAAGATATTTGTATATATCAGTAGAGAAGACACACATGAGAAGGAAAAGAGGCAGCAGCTTTCCTTTAGGTGGATAAGTCAACTTGAAAACTAGTCAGTTTAAAAAAAAAGTGGTTTAATGCACTATGACAGGTCCTTAATCTCTCTGCCAACAACAATAATAATTGGGTATTCATAGGAGCATTCATAGTGTCTGAAACGACTTTTAACTATTTTTTTAATTGATAGTGTTCATTTTTAAAAGTTGAATTCATCATTTATATGAAAACCCAACAGTTGTAATCCTGTAGAAGTTCACTATTTGTTTTATTTTGAATTAGGCAAAGATCAAATATCATCTAAAGTGTCTCAGGCTCCTTGGTTTGGCACACCTCAGTCCTTTTAGTCTCTGATACTAGACCATCTGTCCAGTGTGTCTTGGCTTCTGGGTCTATGCACTCATACCCACACAGAGCATTGAGGTCTCTTGAAAAGCCAGGTTGATGATGTCTTTGAGAAATGTACACTGTAAAATCAAAAAGTTACAATAATGGTAGAGAAAAATTAGACCAGGCACATATAAAAATAAATATTTACATTATATAATTTGTGTGAGTAAAGAAAAATCTAAATAAACGTGTCTTTGGTATGTAGAAAAGATGGAAAAATAGACCTACGGTAATTGAAGGGAAAACTCCACCAGATCATTCCAAAATGACTATGAGAGACTTGATATACTACCTACCAGAAAACAATCCTATGAAGTAAGTACAGTTCTCTTTTCTTAAAGGTAAATTGTTTTTGTCTGTGTCTACTAATTTAATCCTTGTGAAATGTATTATACTGATACCCCTGAATATGGAAGTCCAGTTTATCAGTAGAAGAGGTAAAGCATGAGCAGTAGCAGTGTAAGCTTCTGAATGCTGTATCACTATTACTTGGTATTTATATTGCAATTGGGAATAGGGTCTTGTGTTAAGTTCTGTACAAACATACGGAGACCCAGTCCATACCCTGAAGTATTTCAATGTATATAGACAAGTAATAAGTGAAGGGTGGTATGACATAATCAAATCTGTGTGTATACATGAACATATACTTGAATTTTTCCTAATTGTAGATTAAATATAAGCTGCCCTTCAGTGTAGCCATCATATGTTGGTTGACTTTTTTAATAGGCATCATGGCTGAGGTGTGTCTTGAGAGGGTAGTGACCGTATGGTATCAACTTGGAGTATGGGTGTTCCATGTAACAGAAGTAAGGTTAAGATTTTGTCATGGTTATTTTTAGTAAAAGTTACAGACAAGTTGAGCAATAAACAAAAATTTATGAGAGCCCTGACCTGTCCATGACTTTTACTAAAAATCATGCGGTAGAGCGGGAGGAAAGAAATGACACCTGAATCCCCATGGCGGGGGCTAACATCTTTAGCCCCACCACCATGCGGGGGGGGCGGGGCACAGCTCCGGCTCCACACCCCGCAGAAGCCGTGCAGTGGGGCCACCAACAATGGCTCTGGCGTCTGTTGAAGCCGCAGGGGTTGAGTGCATGGCCTCAGCTGCGGGGGATGAGGGGGACCCCGGCTCTGGCTGCGCTGCTGACAGCTGAAGCTGAAGTCATGGCGGTCCAGTAAAGTCACAGAATCCGTGACCTCCATGACTAAATTATATTCTTAATCATGTGTAGTATGGAACAAGGCACGAAAATAATGTCAAACCTCTGGCAATATAATCCCTACCTGGAAGGACCAGCCTTAGGAGTAGTAGGGTAGGAAGTTCATTTTCCGTGTCCACTGGAAGTTTGGCACTTTTACTTGCCTTGCTAATGTTGTTGCAAATTGTGCTGGTAGCAGTGGCACTGTTAGCTGTTCACTGGTAACTGGTCTGAGATCAAAGAACTCATGGTATGTCTACATGGAGTAGCAGTGTGTGCTACATGGATATGATTTCTAATGTGCGCTAACAAGTTCCACGCTAATGGGTCTATATAGCTAGCATGAACTAAAAATACCCTATTGCATTTTAGCGTAGTACTATGATGTTATGTAGTGGATTCAGACAGATGATGTGAAATGACATCAGGTTCTCTATCCCATTACTAATTCTCCTGAACTATTCATTTCTAGAACCTTAAGTTGCTCAAGTCACTTAGCAGTATATACAGATTGTGAAATTAGATGATGCACTAGCATGATGTAAAGATGTTTTGCCTTCAGATTTAGAACAGAGTTTGGGGGTGTTTTTTTTTTTTTCTGTTAGAGTAAATCTATGCATCAGTGAATATTGTCATATCTCTAATATTCATTAATAGGTCTTCTCTGGCAGAAGAAAAGAAAACTGAGAAGACTTCTACACAGGTCCAAATGAAAGAGTAAGTCTTTGTGTCTATGGTACTTAACATCAAAATGCCTTCTGTTGGAAAAGAAGTACATTTTATGTATAATCAGTAATGTAGAAGGGATTGTCTGGTTCCTAACTTATTGTTGTGATAAATTTATTCCTTTGTTTTAAATTAATTATTTTAGGTGGCGGGAAGATGGAGGGGAAATGGTAGTCATTAGATACATTGTCCAGGAGCAGAATGTAGAAATCAATCTGTTCACTCAGACTTCTTGAGGCAGGCTAGCTGTGATGTTATTCATGGTAATAGGTTGATCATGTTACATTTGTGTTTTTAATCATTATTATGACAGGGAGTACTTGTAATTCAAGGAAAGTTATTGTTGCAGCCAGTTAACGTCATGTTAAAGTTTGTTTGTGGTGTTAATTTTACATGCATCAAGCCAACTGACATTTTCATATATCAAAATATAACTGATAAAACATTAATCTGAAGATTTATAAAATTGTGGGGGTTTTAGCTAGGTGTCTGAATAATGTGTGGGGTAATCTAGCAGATACATAGCGAGCAGAAGAAAATGCTTCTTGTGTGTATGTTCTGAAGTGTTAATCTTTCAAAATTGTAGATCAGAAGAGATACATGTTCCTGACCATGAAGATGAGGAGGCTGAGACTGAGCCAGAGGAAGGGGAGGAGAATGATGGTCCTCTTCTAGTTCCTCGAGTGAAAGTAGCAGAAGATGGTACAATTATTCTGGATGAAGAAAGGTAACTGATATTCTGCAACTGACTCCTGTGCTATGTGTGTCTGATGAATTACTGTCTGGTTTCCAGAGTGGTTAACAGTGTAACTCCTGCTAACTGAGTTAACTATCTGGCTTCATAATTTTACATAACACCTACAATTTATTTCCATGTTGGATAGCAAATTAGGGCTATACACAATGCATCATTACACAGTCAGGATTTGAGTTGCTACAGGAGCTTAGGGATGTTCTGGTAGAGGAAGTTGGAACAGTCAAAAGGAAATGAAGAATTTCCCATACGTGACCTTGCAAAAGAGTTTTCTTGGAGTTTAAGACTAATTGGACAAACATTTTTGAGATATTGGACTCTTCACTACACTTAATGTATATGTGTTCCATATTTCTAAAATGTTAGAGTGAATGTAATTACAGTAGAACCTCAGAAGAACACCTAGGGAATGGAGGTTGTTCGTAACTCTGAACAAAACGTGGTTATTTTTTTCAAAAGTTTACAACTGAATGTTGACTTAATACAGCTTTGAAACTTTACTGCAGAAAAAAATGCTGCTTTTAACCATCTTAATTTAAATTAAACAAGCACAGAACCAGTTTCCTTACCTTTTCAAGTCCTTTTTTTCTTAAAAACTTTCCCTTTATTTTTTTAGTAGTTTACATTTAATGCAGTACTGTACTGTATTTGCTTTTTTGTTGTTGTTGGTCTCTGCTGTCTGATTGTGTACTTCTAGTTCCAAATGAGGGGTGTGGTTGACTGGTCAGTTTGTGTGACTGCTGTTTGTAACTCTGAGGTTCTACTGTATGTAATTTAACTAGATTAATATCAATCCCCAATATTCTCTAATTCATATAATAGAGAGATATTGGCATGGTAGTGAAACCTAGTTAAATTGATGTGAACTTGGAGTATGGCAGGAAGAGTCTTAATTCTCAGGTTCTCAACAGACATAAAATGTGGTTCTCCAGTTTTTATTGCCCCAATGACATTTCTGATGTCTGACATTCATGGGTTGCTTTCTTCTTTTCAGTTTAACTGTAGAAGTTTTAAGGACAAAAGGGTCATGTGTTGTAGAAGAAAATGATCCTATCTTTGAGCGTGGCTCCACAACTACCTATTCCAGCTTTAGAAAAAGTTTCTATACCAAGCCGTGGTCAAATAAAGGTAGGTATACTTTAGTTTCAAGTTTTGAGTCTGTAGAAGACTAAGCCCTGATCCTGCAGACACTTGCAAACGTACGTTTTACACATGTGAGTAGTCGCATTGACCTCAATGGATCTATTCATGTGTAAAGTTAATCACTTATTTAATAGTTGTAGGATAAGGGCCTTAATGAGCAAAGTTCTAGTTTGTGTTGAGCATATGCATACTCAAGAAACCCCACACCTAGTGAGATAATGGGCTGGAAGCTGGTTGCCACTCCAATGTGTCCGTGACAGGAGGGCCATTATGGGACTGGGGACCAGATGTATAAACTGCATATTAAATCATGTGTGCTTCCTAATCCGGCAGCAGTTATGCATACAGCCCTTCCAGCATGGTTTAGGAATAGATGGTGTGAGGGATATCGTGCATCGTGTATATGTGCACATATGTTTTGTGGGTGCAGGACACTATGCTTGTATCTACCAGAATTTGGCCATTATTATTTGCCGGCAGCACAGTGTGGTAGAGATCACTGTGTATGAGAACACTTCTCAAACCTTTGGGTGGAAGATTGTGGTGTTTCATTCCTGATTCTCTCATGAATTCTTTGGAATACTGCTACTCTTTGTAAATAAAGAGCAGTTAAAAAAATACAATGTTTTGTTCTATTTTTGTGGTTTGATTAATAAAGAATAAGATGAAAATTAAAATTAATGAATTAATGTTGATCTAGTACTCTGCAGAATTAGTGAGATGAGTGTTTGCTTATTTTAAAAATCTAGATTGTTCTTTTTGTTGACAATTGATATGATAATAGTAGTAATAAAGATGTATTTAAGAAAGTAACACATGGAGTAACTTAAGCCCAAAATGTGACAATTCTTAGTATTCTTTTAATCTGAGAACTCTATAAAATAACATTCCCTAAGCATTAATTCTCCATTGATACTGATACATAAATAAAAATAAGCTTGTTAATTGAAAACAAAGGAAACTTCTAAATGTTTGTGAAATGCAAGAGAACAAAATTGTTAGGGGCAAAGCTGTTTTTTTTTTTTTTAAATTAAACATAGTATTATCAATACTCCCATGTGTGTACAAAATACAACTATACAATCACAATAGTGATTGTAAGTAATAGCATATAAAATAAGCTAAACCTCAGGAGAAAAATATTTTCAGCAAATGTGCTGAGTGGTTATTCATAGTCAAAAAATTGTATGATCTGCAGAAGCCAAATTCTTTGTTTAGAACATGCATTATTTAACGTCAAAGTATACTGTTCACAAAGACGTAGTATAGAGGGAATTGATTTTCAGGTGGTTAAAAGCTGGTGTGAATGTGAAGTATTTGATAACCACAGAAGCAACTTATTTTGAGTAAGCTCTTAAAACATGAACATTATTCCTGATACATGATGATCATTTTTAATTACTTCAGTGTTTATCTTCCTGACTTAATAGCTTACTTATTAACAAAATTACATTATTTAAGTTTTAGAGAAATAGAAGTCTTCTCCAAACTGGTCTTTACCGGAGTGAATAGTGTTAGTAGTACCTGAATCACCTCTCCCTTCTTCTTAAGTCACGACATGAGGAAAATATTTTTCAGTGTTATTTAGTGTATTCGACTATGAAGGGTGGGGAATCAGTGAATAATTTCAAGTGTATTGGATATATATTCACTTACAGTAATTAGCTTGATACTTTCTCCATGTTGCTAGATGCTCAGAAGCTACACTGATGCCGTAAGTACCTAGATAAACATTTGTACAGCATTGCTCAGGAGTATCAAGATGCTTTACAATGTGATAAGCAGAAAAAGTATAAAATAAAGCAAACTCAAATAACAATAACTTTGAATACGGGGTAGCTGGGTGAAATGTAATGGCCTGTGGGTTAGAGGAGTTCAGATGATCCTTTTTGGCCTTAAACTCTGTGAAACTATGAACTGGAATAATGGTCTGGTTTGGAATTTAGCTCTGTCTGAATATATTGGATATACATATTTTTTTTACTCTTAAATGTAAAGATTTTGGTTCATATAGTAAAAAGAATAGCATTCAATGTGTGTGTGTGTGTGTGTGTGCGCGCGTGTAAAGATAGAGATATTTTAGTTTATTTTATCTTTGTTCCAGAAACTGACATGTTCTTCTTAGCTATCAGCATGGTAGGAACAGACTTCTCTCTGATTGGTCAGCTGTTTCCTCACAGAGCAAGAACGGAGATAAAGGTAAGTAAAGCAGAGAATGATATTACCAGTGCAATTGTCAGCATTTGCTTTTGTTCTCAACCTCTTGCATGCTGTTTATACAGTATTTTAGTATTAATAATTTTTGATGGTATTTGGTTCCGGGGTAAAGTTTGTAGTAACAGTACGTTTTCAGAATGCAGTTAATATCCAGAGTAATATGTCTGAAATGGATAAGATGCTTCTTGATCTGATACAAATTAGTTCAACTTCCTAATTTGAAGTAGATATACTTGTAACACACTGGTTTGATTTACAACCTTGTTTCTTTGTGGGCAACGTTTTCCCTAACTAAAGGAGTATTTTATCCTGATTTGCTACCTTCTATATCTTTAGTACTGTAACATTTGCTTAGTGGAGAAGGATTAATATAATTTACAATATACATTTTTTCAGAACAAGTTTAAACGTGAGGAAAAAGCAAATGGATGGAGGATAGATAAAGCATTCAGTAAGTTTTTTTACTTAGCTAAATTCTTCTGATTAAGTGTTATGACTATGTAATTTTTTAGGGGCTTTAGTTTGTTTGATCCAATAAATTAATTCTACAACAGGGTGTTTGTTTGTAATACTTAACATTTAGAGGATAGTATAGTTGTTAAAGTACAAGACTGAAAGTAAAATTTTTAGCTTTTAGTCCCAGCTCTGTTGTTGATTTGGTGTCTAATTTGGGCTAAGCATATACTTTCTCTGTGTCTTGGATTCTTTCTGTGAAATAGGGAGTAACATTTAACTCTCACATGTTGAGGATCCATTGGTTACTAATGGTAGAGCACTCTGAGAATCTTGAATGACAAGTGCCATATAGGTACTACTGTTCCTGTCATGAAATTTGAGTGTCTACTTCATTTAGCACAGTGGGTCATAATTTTGATATTGTGATGCAACCTGAATATTTGCTTCTGCACGCCTAATATGTTACCTCTGGTCTCTGCAAGCTTTCAGTGCCACTTGTGTAAAAGACACTGACTAGTCATGAAACGTGCAGTATGGAAAGTGGTGATTGAACATGGAAATCATAAATGAACTATGTGGTTTAAAAAAGCAGAAGCTTAAAGACTAACTTTATTAACTGTGAAATATTAACTTTTTATATTTCACTCTTTTTTAATTGGACAGAGGAAAAGCGACCATTTGACTTTGAATTCTTTGCCCAGTTGCTTGAGGAGGTACTGGCAGATGAGAAAAAAAGGAAGCAAAAAGCTACTAAAAGACCAAGTTCAAAAGAGAAGAAGCCACCCAAATCTCGGAAAAAGCAAAAAGGTACTTAATTTAAAATTTTCCTTTCAAAATAGTAATACGGAATAATACTGTTATAGTGCTTCACTATTGGGTCATTGAACAAGGAAAAAAAATCCTATAAGACAGTGGTTCTCAAAGCCCATCCACCGCTTGTTGAGGGAAAGCCCCTGGCGGGCCGGACCGGTTTGTTTACCTGCGGACGCGGCAGGTAAACAAACCGGTCCGGCCCGCCAGGGGCTTTCCCTCAACAAGCGGTGGATGGGCTTTGAGAACCACTGCTGTAAGAAATCTCATACTTCACGGTTCTGAACAGATTTCTTTTAGGCAATGGGAGACTTGTGTGATACTGGATTCTTAGAAGGACGTTTTCAGTTCTTAATTTGCTCATTTAGGGGACAGTATTAGCCAATTTCTAGAGAGGTATTTTATATGAAATAAAATTGTACTACCTTAATCAGGTTATAGTTGGTTTGGAATCTTGTATTTCTGTTTTGGAGTATTTCAGATTGATCTGTTAATAAATATCTTCGTAGGGTGCTCACAAATTTTTTATATAGTACTTCAATGCTTGTAAAAAGAACTTTATGAATTTTTATGCATGTTTTGCTTTAGCAGTAGTGTAAGACTATATTTATAGTTTTTAAATGTCATTTTGTGACTCTCTGAACATTAGCCACTGTCAAAAGCTGTTTCAGGGAAAATGGCCTTGAGAACAATATGTGAAAAGTTGTTACAAAGGTGAGACTGTCTAGGAAGTAGCAGCCAAAAAAGCAATTCTTAAAGACCATTGTTGTCTTTAGAAATTTACTTGTCTGAAATTTACTAGATAAGATTATGAATATGAGTTAATGGAAATCATGCTCTCTTTTCCTACCTGGTAGATTTCACACCACATGTTAATTTATTTTTTAGCCCACAACTAAAAACTTATTTTGTACTTAATGCAGTACAGAAGGCATGTTTCTTTACTCTTGTGCTGCATTTTGGATTTGTCACTTATACGGGTGGGGAGGAGGGATGGGAAAAAATAGTGTAAAAATATAAAATGCAAGTAAAAGCAGTTACTCATGGTGTTGAACACTATATATAAAAATCAAGATTTTTGCAGTGATTGACTATTGGTATTTCAGAGTGTGCTTTAAAAAAGAAAAAAGTAATTGAGTCATTTTTAGAAGCTATTTACCAAAACCAGAAAACAATCTGCCTAGAAAGTTTAGGTCCCTAATACTTCTGAGTAGTGTAGTATATAGTAAAAGCAAAGAATTTATCTAATTAAACTACAGTAGCGTAATATACCATATGCAGCCACAAATTAGGATCTACCCACAATAGTAAGATTTTTTTTTTTCCGGGAAGACAGGTGCCTAATTTTCATATTGTAGTACAGTCAGTGTAACTACCCAACCTAAAAACCACAAGAGCAAAGTGATGTGCATTGAGTATAGAATGACATTTTTAGCAGTCTCAGATAAAAGGGTTGTCCCCCAAATGTGTGTTGCAGCATCAGTTAACCTGTGCTGAGACTTGATTGCATCTGGTTGGTTGTAAGCCAAAACATTTTTTAGGGCTCTGTTGCTATATCTGACAGGATATTGCCATGGATAGATGAACGCGCCAGACATTGATAGTGGAAAGACCTTGGAGATTCTTGGTTTATAATACCAGTATATTTACCTGGAACTGTACTGTCTTTGATAGCTAAAGTTGTCAGTGAAGAAGCAGATAATGACCAGGATGATCCTCAGGGTGTCAGAATTTCTGATGCAGAAACAGAAGTGGATGCTGGGACAGCTGAGAAGGAGAATGAAGCATCTCTGAATGTCTCTGAACAGACAGAAGAGATTATATTGGAGCCAATGACAACCAAAAAGAAGAGGAAAAAGAAGAAAAAAGATGATTCTGAACTGGAAGTGGAGAATCTGTCTGAAGAGGGAGCTGCCCCCTCAAAACCAGCTAAGGGGGGGAAATCCAGCAATAAAAGTAAGACTAAAATGCTCAACCATAATCCCTCCTTCTGCTGTTGGCATTGTTACAGTTTGTTGCGCGTTAGCAACCCCGTCGGATTATAAATGTCAAATTTTAGCCTATGGAAGTACCTGGTGTGTTCTCTTTGGGCCTTTGTATGGTGTAAAAAAATTATAACATGTAGGTACTATTGTTGGTTCGGAGAGGATGGTAATTGTTTTCATTCAGCTTGGGTCTCACAATTACCATCCTCTCTTAGTTTACCTGTACCCTCTTTAATCTACCTCCTTCTCAGAAGCCTGGGAGAAAACACAAGTTTTGCAGTGTGCTCTGAAGGTCAGCAAACCATTGGGGGAGAAATGAGCTTTAGTTGAGGGCATCTCTCAAAAAATACCTGGCAACCAGTCCCCTCTCTTTTTAAACAGGAGTGCTATTAGCTTCAGTACCTTGGTTGATATTAAGTGTCATTTACTGCATATGGATAGAGTTCATCTCTTTGGTACCCAGGACTCTAAACCATTTAAGGTTTTGAAGTGAAAACAGGTTGAATGACATATGGAAACAAATTGGATCTTTCATTGCAGACCTTGGGGCACAGACACAATTTATGAAGCACCTCTAAGCAAGAACACTACCACTTTCTGGACTACCTGACGTTTCATGGTGGTCTTTAGATATAACTCCCAATAATGCATTACAACAATCCAATCTATTATGTTTGGTTTAAACCACTGTGGTCGCACAGGTGAGATCTCCGCTATATTAATATGCAGTATGGATCGTCCTTGAAAATGTAGTTAGGGAAAAATATATAATGAATTCATAAACCTTTTGGTGAAAGTTGTATGGCACGTTTCATTTTAAAGGGCGCTGTCAGGTAGGTTTGGCCCCAAATCAAAAAATGTTTTTAAACACAAATCTCCAAACAGCCCCCATTAAAATTTAACATCTTGAGAAATATTTTAATTTAAAAAAATCAACCTAGTTTTTGTTGAGAGATAGTAGTTTTCCTCAGAAGTGTTTAAAACTTTGCAGCATTGTTACGTGAAAAATGGATGGTGAAACTGTGTAGAAGCTCCAAACTGAATGGGGTGCAAACCAGTAAATGAAATAACCTAGATTTTTAAACCTCTTTGAATGTTGATTAATAGAGGTAAAGAAAATGTTTAACATTTGAACCTCAATTTCTTTTCAGTTTACTATAAATTACAGTATAATCTTAAAAATTCTATAAGCCTACAACTTGTAATGACTTTCATAAAAGGTTGCATCATTTTCAGTAATGGTAATTGACAATTGACATCTGTTCAATGACACAACCATTATTTAGAAACACCATCTCCATACGCAATATTGTTTTCTTTGTAGACTCCAAATTTTGCTCCACTTAGAAAAAAGTGATGTTCTTTTTCCTGACTGTAGCAACGAATCTGAATGTAGCCCAAAGTTTCAAACTTCAGCTATCTATACCCATAAGTCTGAACTTTCAAAGTGAAGTGATTTTTTTTTTTTTTGGTTGCTTTAATTTTTGAGGTGCCCAGTCAGAAACACTTTAAATGCCAGATTTTTCTGAAATTCAGGTCCTTCTCAGGTGTCTCAAATTGGTCCCCAAAATAACTTCTAAAATTGAAGCCCAATTTTTGTTATGAGTGTTGGTGTTTTCTCTTGTGGATGTTTTGGAATCTGTACCTAATGTTTCCAGACATTTTCTGGAAATACATATTAAACACCTAACAATTTGTTAACAGAAAAAAATGCAGTGTCTGGTACAAACAGTGATAATCATACTGAAAGTGGGGAGGAACTGGATGTTCTTAATCAAGAAAATGCGGCTGAGACTCCTGTCCTGATGGAGCAAGAATCACATTCCTGTTTACAACTGAATGATAAAACCGAAGAAAGTGATCTCAATTTAGCCAGGTAATTTTTGCTACATATGGACTCAAACACAGCAAGAAATGGTTTGATTTTTAAAATTAGTTGGTTTTTTTTGTTTTTTTGTTTTTTCATTTTTACCATCACATTCATTAGTGAAGATGGGCAGGGTCTTCGGTTTCCATGTGTGGTCAAGCTTTGCTCTCAAGGGTAGTGGACTCACTTGCTTTAATTTTATACCTGCAACATGATCCTTACCCTGAAAGCCTTGTCTTAATTTAATGACAGGTTTCAGAGTAGCAGCTGTGTTAGTCTGTATTCGCAAAAAGAAAAGGAGTACTTGTGGCACCTTAGAGACTAACCAATTTATTTGAGCATAAGCTTTCGTGAGCTACAACTCACTTCATCTGATGCATAAAAGTGGAAAATGCAGTGAGGATGTTTTTATACACACAGACCATGAAAAAATGGGTGTTTATCACTTCAAAAGGTTTTCTCCCCCCACAAACCCACTCTCCTGCTGGTAATAGCTTATCTAAAGTGATCACTCTCCTTACAATGTGTATGATAATCAAGGTGGGCCATTTCCAGCACAAATCCAGGTTTTCTCTCCCCGCACCCCAAAAATTAATGCTAAACCTCCATTTTTTTGATTCTTTAAATCCAAAATTTTTCTCATTTTTGGGATGAACATCAAGACCAGAGACTTATTCCAAACCCTTTCGTAAAGCTTTAAGGAAAATATGATGGTACCACAAAAGCAGAGCTTAGTAACATTATTAGTGTACTTTCTGGCAGGGATGGGGTGGGGGGTTCTGTACACTTATTACTATAAAATGTATCTTCTGTAACACTTGTGGGGAAACAAAACTATACTTAATTTCATGCCGAGTTGAAACAGAACCAGGTTTTCTGTCAAGATGCAATTGTTTTTGGTCATGAACTTTGAGAAACTTTTTTACAGTACATGACACTTCACTTTGTGTTACTTAAATCCACGTTTACTAAGGAGATTTTCTTATCCCTGTTACAGAACATCAATAATTTTTGTGTAAATGATGAGATATTTATGGAAGAACTATAACACTTCTAATATTCTCTGGGTTGAAGTACAATTTCATTGTGTTAATGAAGCTCTTCTTGATATTCTCCCTTCCATATTAGATTTTCTCCGTAAAATGAAAGAGTTCCTGTAGCCAATTCAGAATATTCAAAAGCTTTTTTGCTTTTAAAATAATTCTTCATCTGCAGTGCTTAAAAGGCATTTTATTAAGATAAACCAAAACTTTTCAGAGTGTCTGTATTTGGTTGCAAGAACTTTTATTTAAACGAAGGGAATGAAGTTGGCAGTCATAAGATTTGGCAGGTTCAATAGAACTCTTAAAATTTCTGCAGATTGTCCGGTTGGGCAAGTGCACAGTGGTAACACTGTATATTTAATAACTCCATAGTGCAATTTGATCCTGCAGCCCTGATTAACTTGTGTGTGAAAAGTACTGATGTTACATTTTCTCTGAATGCCTTATTTACAGCTTTCAAGATACTAGTGCTGGATTAATAGAAACTGAATCTTCTGAACCAGAAACCTCAGATATCATCTCTGGGTCACAGGATTGGCAACCTTCAGAATCTCAAGCTTCGGGTACCAGAAATAAAAAAGGAAATGGTGAAGAAACCAGTGAAGCAAAGGTATCTTTGTTTTTATGGATTCTTTTGGACTCCGGTAATCCTTCTCACATAGTAGCATTCACATAAAATAAAGATTTCTTCGATAAATATCTCGTAACATACTCATATACAGCTCAGCACACAGTCATTAAACCTGGAAATATCACTAGAAGTTAAATAAGTTGCCACTAGGTGGGATAAATGACTTTTATTGGTTTTATTTTAGTAGGCCAAACTGATTCAAGGAGTATAATGTTTGGATTGGGTTCATCTCATAGTGCAAAAATTTAAAGTTGCTGTTTAAACTCTTCATTAGCTTTCCAAAACAAAGACTATGAAGGAGAAAATTCCACTAGTAAAATTCAGTGTCTTCCATTGTCTTGGAGCCCACTTCTGCAGGGACTTGGTACCATGTGCTTGCTAGCGTAACTAGTAATGCTTGTCTGAAGGATTCTTTTAATTTTTTTGATCTTTCTAAGACAAAGGATTGTCTTGTGGCTGAAGCGTGGGAGGGGTCGGAGATACTTCCTATGCTACTTTGGGCGAGTCGCTTAAACTCTTGACTGTCAATTTCACCAGTTTCGTCAATTTAATTAGTTTTATATTTAAAAAATAAGCAAACAAACCCCATTTTTACTGGGAGGTTGGCTAATTCTAATCTTTGTGAAGCACCTTGAATCCCTTGAGTGGGAAGTGTTGTAGAAATACAACACTCAACTGCCTCAGAAGAATTGAAGTGTACAGAGTAGCCTGGACCCTGTAATGTGCCTCAGTCCTGCCTACAAACCAGAACTACGCAGACGTGTTTTCAGGCCAACTAGCTATGACAATATATTGCTATTGTAACAGGAGGGACAGCCTTAAGAAAAGCCTGGAGTCTCAAGTCATCATAATCAGAATGATTATGTTACTATCACTAATGTTTTTACATTGTAGATTACGTGTGCTGCGGTTAAATGAATTTAATTTGATGCATACTAAATCTCCGTTGCAATCTGAAAATGCCAAACCAGTCAGTACAGGAAATACTTTGAGGATATTTATGTGATGAAACAACTGTAGATTAAAACGAGGAAAAATAGTTTTATGTAGCAGAAATGCTTTTGTTCGTATATAATAGGTAGATTTTATATTTTACTATACCCGTTGATCAAGAATAATTGCCTTTATCATTCTTGCTTTTTGCAATAATGCCTAGTGATCTCTGGTGGAAAGATTATTTAAGGCCTACAGCCAACAATAGTTAAAATTGGTACTAGAATCTCACTCACTCAATTTAACTGAAAGATGAAAGAGGAGCCTTGTTTTCACTTTCATTTGCACCAATGTTTAACTGTCTTGTAGCAAGAGTTTCTTCAGTATTGCAGGAATCAGGAGTTCTAAATATTACTTTGTTTCCACATAGAACAATGAAGTATGTGATTTATATAAACCAGCTGAAAAGGAGAGTACAGCAGGAAAAAGCCATGATTCTAAATCTGAAACAATGTGAGTAGTTATTCTGCCTAGCAATAGTAGTCCGCTGAGAGTTAAACCTATATTTCTCAATTTCGGGGTGGGGTAGGTATGTGTGTTATAAAATCTGTTCACACGGCACAACAGGTGGTCTTTTGCTCCTCTTTATTTTAAAAATACTTCAAATAGAACTAAGTTTCTGTGGTCAAAGAATGACGCTTATAGAAAACTTCAAAATGTTGCATAGGGACAGGCAGGTTATGTTGGTTTTAATGCGAGTTACAGCCTGTGCAATTTAGTATACCAAGATCTTGGGGGTTCATGGTCAAGATAATAGCTCTGAATGAGTAAGGGGTGGGGATTGAATTAATCTAGTATGTAGTAGTGTACTATTCAGATCTTCTGATCATTATGCCATACTACAGCATATTAACTACCTTCTGCTGTCTCCAACCTAGGACTACCGCCTTTTTAAAGGCAGCTCAGTCCCATGTTAGTGGCTGTTTTAGCCTTACTTGGCCTGCCCCTGCATACATGTAATCTGATGAGCTTCTGCTCCAGGAGTCTGAGGTAGCATGTGCCAAAGAGGATCTGTGGTTGTGTTTCTCCATTATCTGCCTTCAGCAGCCCTAGCCAAGAAAAATCCATAGGCCAGGGTGGCATATAAGATTCTGATTCCTGAGTGGAACGGAGAGAGGTGGGTTTCTTTCTAGGGGAGGGAGGAGAATGGAGAATGAATGCAGGAAAAAGAACATGGAGGAAAATATAGAGAAAGCAAAGGAATACAACATGAAATAAAGAATTAAATATACAGAGAAGGCACAGTAGGCAGATGTTAAGAGCTTTTCAAAGGAGGGGAAGAAAATGTACTGGATGCTCCCTATTTCCCTCTTCTCCCTGTGGCTGCTTTCTGTGTTTCTTGAAATGCGTTTCTTTGGAGGTTATTGCGAGGTATCTTTTGATCCTTAGGCCACACCTTGCTTTATCATATATACTATTAAAAAATTGAGTGATACTTGGATTTTAAAATATAGTTAATATTTCATGTTGTACTATTTGTATCAAACTGCAAAACGAGAGCATTTTTAGACCCTTTAGTAAGGCCTATCAGATTTGTTTACCCACTTTTAGATGTAATCAGCTTCCACAGGATGGATGTGTTCACCCGTATGACCTGAAGGAAAATACCATTGTAGCTCAGGAGGGAGCAAGAGATTGGCATCCGACTTGTCTGAAGAGAGCTGTTAGAGGAAGAGGGGCTGACTTACAGCCTTGGAACAAGAGACCAAGAGGATAATTAGGGTGGAGAAGGGCATTTAAACACTGTATTTTCCCAATTCAGGCACTGACAAGAGGAGTAACTTGTCTCCAGTCTTGAGAGGAACTAGGGAGAAATCCATTTGAGCCCCGATCAAGCTGCTATTGAAATCCAATGATTCTTTTTTCCCATTTACTTCAGTGTGAGACCTTTGGGAAGGACATATCCCTATACCTGATATCAGGAGAAGATGTTACAGTTTGTCAGGGTGGATTGATTTAAATCAGTGATTTAAATCACCAAGTGGAAAGCCCTTGATTTCAATAATTTTTAACCGACTTTGCCATTTGTACTTCAGTTATTTTTCTAAAGAAAGGTGCATTCTTATTGGTTGATATAAGTGTTAAAACATGTTGATTTACAACTAAATAGATCTTATACGCTAGATTTGGTGCATCTTTTTGCTACCTAGGAGTACACAATAACTACATACATTTACAATACTACATACATTTATTTATGCAATTTTATAGCTTAATATTTTCAGATTCTTATGATACATTTTTGGTATGTTAGAAAACGATGAATGATATATTGCTTATTTACTAGATAATTAATTTTTTATTCATTTTTTTTGTCAAGCTGCATTGGGATTGTAAATAGAATTTAATCAAACACACCACAGTGTACAAAACTTATTTTTTTATTAAACAAAGCAACCTTAAATGTTTTGATAAGATAAGTTTATGTATCCAAAACCTGTTTCAAATTTACAGCTAAATTATTTATTAAAGGAACAAAGGAATTAACTGTAGTCAGTCAAACTGATTATTGAAGTTTAATTTTCAAATTTTCAAATATGCCTAAGTGAAAGTAACTGGATCTAGTCTTGTCTAAATCTCTCTTGAAAATGAGAGAGTCTCCTGAATTACTTAGGCTGAGCTATTGTGGTATATTTATAAAGCTTGACCTCAAAAGTTAAATGTTTTCCACCTGATTCCTTCTTTATATAGGAAAACAGCTTTTAATTCCAAGTTTTTAATAGAGGTTCATGGATTCAGCATATTTTTTACTTAAATATTTTAAGAGATTATCAATTTAGGCCTTAACATATTTTGTGTTAAATTCAGATTTCATTTTAAACAGGTTTATTTTTAAAAAAGAAAACTTATTATAATTCAAATAACCATAAAAAGAATTTTATATTTTTCAAAAAAAATCTATTTTTTTTATCCACCCTGCAACTGTTACTTCTCTAATATTCTCTTTGAGGGTGTGGCCCCATGCAGTGCTGAAAACCAGTAAATTTATGAAGTGTCCTTACACACTTACAAAAGATTCTGTACTTTCAAGAAATAAAGCATACCCACAAATGGCATAGAACATAGTAATGATTTCTGTCAGTTACTATTTTATTGTATGGAATATGTAGGTAACTTGTTTTTGGAGGATATATTTGATCATCTAAAGACCTGGATTTCTTTGCTGTGAATATTATAAGCTATTGTTTTTGTATCTTAAGGGAAACTGAAAAAGCTGCTGCTGGAAAGCCATCAGTGAGAGGACGCCTGCAGAGACCTAAACCCAATTTAGCAAGGGCATCTGGAAAGACAGAAGCAGCAGTCCAAGAAAAATCTGAGGTCAAGATTTCTCCTCCAGAGCCTACAGAAGGGGCTGAAAAAATGGTGGGGAGCAGCAATGTTAATTGCAAATGCTAACAATCTTGTGTTATACCCACATGTAAAAGTTGATCTGCTAAACCTTGGTGACCTGTTCTGTGACACATCTGACCACTTTTATATAGCAACTGCTTATACATAGATGATCAAGTCATGCGTGTTGGTTTTAGTGATTAGCAGCATATCTGATTACTTCACATCTGAAGCAGTTGAGCTTTATCCAAAGAGGGCATGGAATGTCAAAACCAGGGGATGGACTTAGTGGATCTCTCACAAGATAGGCATTGGCTACATTTGAAGCTTGTTCTTGGCACCTGAAGGTGAAATTGAGGTTCCTTAGGGGAATTGTCCCAAAGCGGTGACTTGAACTGAGATGATGGCTCGGTAGAGTAAACACATCTTTAAATAGGGGTAGATGTGACATGTCTTGCACCTTAAGGATCAGATTCTGCAAGGTGACTTGTCACCTGATGTCAGGAGGGTTGATATTGGGCAAAACAGGCAGCCAGGCCAGGTTAGTTAGTTAATGGTACTTATTATATGCATGGTTTCATGTAGCTGAGTGTCTGTTAGTCCTGTATGAAAAGAGCTTAGCCGCACTGGAGAGTAATACTCTGCTACAAAATAGCACAAGGCAAGCCCAGCTTTTGTGTTTATACATTAGAACCAGCTAATCTGCTGATATGGTTGTTGGCTGTTTTTATTTTCAGCAACATCTTAGTAAGGCATTTCTTGGAAATCAAGGGGTGGTCCAGTGTGACACCCAGATAGGCTGGACAATGACCCAAAGCCAGTGTGTGTCCATTCAGGAAGATATTGAGCTGTTTGTTGGCCTTTGTGTGGTATAGAGGGAAGCAACTGGATGCTGTCTTTTTGGTAATACGTTTAAGTCTCCATCTTTTACAGTAGTGAGCCATATCTTTCATGTTAGCATTCGGGACTTCTGTGTGACTGAAATCCTGGTTCTTTACTGCCAGACAGATTAGTGCAAAGATAAAATGCAGTGATTGGGAAGGCTTTTCAAGTAATTTGTACATGCAACTTAGCAAAGTGATGGGGCAGTTGTAATTTTTGCAACCTAGTGTGCTTTCTCAGGTTTTGGCAGGGCTATTACTTTTGCTCTCTTCTAGATCTTGGGTATTTAATTATTGTTGATGACTCTGGTTAGAAACATGGGTAGCCATTGTCTGCTAGTTTTCCCTTCTGGCATTTTCATTACAGATGACACCATTTTGTAGATTGCCTGCACGATTTCAAGCATTTCGCCACAACTGATATATCCATTCACATCAAGATCATACATGCTAAGATGTATGCTAGTTTTCCCTTGTTCTTCAGGAATTTGGGGGAGAGGTTATCAAGCCCTCAGGCTTTACGTGTTTTCAGAGTTTTGATTGCCAATTCTATTTCATCTGTGGTGAAAGGCTGCAAGTCTTTTCAGTATCAGGTATATACTCTTTGTATTGCACCATTTGTTCTTTATCTCTCCTTCAAAATTTTTTGTCCTTCATCCACTTTTGTGGAATTTATCAGGAGGGTAATGATACTATTTGGAGAGACTGAACAATGGCATTGTGCTGGAGGCTTCTGAGCAGCACCAGGTTTTCTGATTAGTGCCCAGGCTTTGCTGTTGTCTCTTGATATGTTTAGTTCCATGGTAGATTGCTTCCATCTTGCTCTTCTAGAAGTGTTCAAGCTGTCTAAAAGATGCATGGTGATGTCTGGATTGCCACTGTCTTCACATTGCTTGAGGAGTTCTGCACACTCCTCATCTAGGCAGGGAATATAGGTCTTAACTTAGGCCCTACTTCATTCACAATATTGCTGAAATTACAGATCCCGCAATATTAGGCCTCCACCACAATTTTTATTTTGATTCGCTTACTTTGCACAGTCCATAATTTTGCATACATTTTAAGTATGCAGTTAGTGCAGTACTAACATTCAATGACCGTAAAAGACTAAAGTGACTATTTGATTTCTATAGCAGTTGTGTTAAGACTGTCTTCTGAATTTTATATTGCACCAGTTCCTTTTTTTTTTTTTTTAAATGAACATAATATAGTTGCAGCAAAATGTCTGGTTATCAAAAAAAAAAAAAAATTAGAAGGCATAACATAATACTTGTGTTATGTTGTTCCAGCAATTTTTTTAAACAAATAGGTCTACTCTTGCTTTTTCTAGATTACCGCTATTAATAAAGGTCCATTATTATTTTTCTTCTATGATTTTCCATGCAGCTCAGCTGCAGTTGTTTGAAGATCATCCTGCAATTCAAGTAGGGCCTTACTTATAACAACCTTTTGGAATTGACTTGGTGGCAGCTTTGTAAAATTTTTTTTTTTTTTTGTGAACTGCATGTAAGCTGCTTCAGTAGAGATGTTGTGTGGGATACAAGCTTTGTGAATTGTATGAAGCTGGGCCCGTTTGCTTTCTGATAGTTTCAGCAAGGGTTAATATTGATGCTCACAATAGGTATAGTTACTCCAACTTTGGTAAAAATCAGACAAGGTTGACTATGTGGGAAGTTTTTCATTTTGCTGCATGTAGCTTGAAGTAGATGATGGCCTCTGCTGGTGGTCCAGGTGAGGTCAGAGGAGTAGTCTTGCTTCCATCTGGGAGAACGAAAAGTACTCTGCTTGGATTATGGATGAGGTGAAGACCATAGAATGAAACCCAGTCCAAAAGGTCTACTCCATTTTGATCTGACTCTCTGTATCTCCAGGTAGTGTGATGGCTTTTAAAACCTATCAGGCTGTGGGAGCTTAGGAATAATATTTGGGGTAGGGCAGGGTTGGTTAGGGTATATGTACCCTTTTGCCATTATGAAATGACTCTTACAACATCAGAGGTCTGGATTGGATTGGAGTGGTTCCATGCCAGCAAGATCCGCTCTAACATAGGTAGTGTGCCACATTTGCTATGCAAAGGGTAACTCACAAGGTCATAACCTGTGGTGTTAAGGCAGCTGGCAGATAGAGAGTTGATGTGTCTCCTGGAGGCAGATTATGTCCATTTATGTTTGGAGGCTAAGGACTGGAGAATAGAACATTCAGCAGATGAGTCCTTCAACATTTAGTTGAAGGACTTTTAGGGTTGGGGCAATGATCAAAGCTTCTTGATCATGGTTAAGATCTCTGAGATCACTTGAAAGTCCATGCTGGCCAGGATCTGACCTGTTTAGTTGGTGCTTTGGTTTCTGTTACTGAAGCAGGATACTTTTGGGGTATACAGTGGGAATGTAGCTGCATTATACCCCATCTGACCGCTGACTTTGCAAATCAAATTTGACGCAAATGCTCGCTCGCTCTCAGCTCTGTCCTTTATATAAAAAAATTATTTTTTTTTTATTTTAATTCAGTATACCATGGAAGCTGGTGAAGGTAACACAGCTGAAATCACCAGAGATGAAACCATAGGAAGAGAGATCAAAGCCTTAGAGACTAAATCCCAGTGAGTATGCAGAGATCAGTTTATCATATCATCTTTGCTTTAACTCTTAACTGTTTACTGCAGTATCTTCTAGTTTATTGCATACAGTGATCTGTTGTAGTCCTTCCATAGGGTGGTCTGATGAACTATGGTGGAAGTGCGAACTGAGGAGGCAAGTGTGAATCATGAACTTGGCTTCTAGATTTCCCCGGACAATATGGAATGGCAATACCATGAAAGTGTTGCACTCCTCTCCTGGGAGGCTGAAGAGAGCCAAACTTCACACAATACCAAACCATTCTTTTTAATTCAGAAGTTTTATTAATGATGATTTGAACCTTACTAGAGGCAGGGAAAATTAAGTGATGAGATGTCCAGGGAGGAGTAGTTGAAACTACACAGGGATAAAATAGACTTTCATAAAGGTATATACTTAGGACTTCCTCACATTCCACAGCTTGATGCCTAGCTTCTGAAGATTGGAGCAGGAACTATAGAGAGTAAGCCACATAACTCTGTTACAGAATTTGGAAGACTTAATGCTAGTGGAAGTTGCCAAAAGACTGACTATACATATTTCAACGAGTGGATCATAGGATTTTCTGTAGTGTTTCAGATCAAAGCAGCTTCTGCACATCAAAGAAATGTACAAACAGATGTAAAAAAAACAATAATACCCCAAAGGCAACACTGTATTTAAGGTCCTTTTTTTAATAAAGAAAATTGTGCAGGCCATTGAAAATCATCTTTCTTATTTCTTAGATGACATTAATAGGCTCGAATGGTGCAAATGCCGATTCTGAATGCCATATTTTTTTTCTTGTGTAGAGAAACTGAAAAAGCTGTTACTGAAAAAGCAGCAATGAGAGGCCGTCGGCAGCGATTTAAACCTAATGTGGTAGGAGCATCTGGGAAGAGAGAAGCACCTCTACAAGGTGAAGGAAAGGAGAAAACTCCTCAAGAGCCCGAGGGAGCAATTGAAAAGGTATTTAGTAGAACAAAATTAACTGGAAATGATAAACCTTTGTATTTTGTCAAGTGGCTAGAAAAATAAGCCTCTATACCTAATCATGTTGTTGTTTTTGTCTTTTTGTTGCTGAGTGTAACCAGAAGTCTCAGTCAACAATCAGTGTAATGGATTTTTGTTCTATATTTATCACTTACATTGTGGTAGAGCCTAGAGGCCACAATTAGGTTGCGATCTTGATTGTGCTAGGCACTGTACAAACTTACAGTAAGTGATGGTCCCTGCCCCAAAGAGCATACCATCTAAAAGGGTAGGTGTTGGCCTGTTGGACATAATTCCCATTAGATTTCACAGTGCAGTGGTCTCAAGATGTCTTCTGTGACTGATATAAAGACATCTCTAAGGTCCTCTGCTGTGTAGGACATATCCACACCTTAACCTACAAACCTGGTATATTTTAGGCTCAGCTGTTATCAGTTGTAACAAGACTGTTTATTATATCTTTTATATAGCTATGAAAATTTAAATTTCTTCATTTTAATTTTCTACTCTTCAGCAGAGTACTGACCCAGGTAACACACCTGACGGTACCAGAGGGGAAACTACAAAAAAAGATGGGAGGGTCTCAGAGACTGAACCTCAGTAAGTATGTACAGAGCAGGGAGACGTATCCTTCTATTTTCAGCTCTTTCCCTGCCTTCTCCTTTCTGATGGTGTTGCATAGAATGGTGAATATAAAAGCTTTTTCTCTTAAGTTATATTTTTGGCAGTCTTTTCCAACTTGCATTTTAATAAGTGGAGCAGATTGTGTCACTGCTATTCAGATGAATTTTCTTGGACTATTTACAAGGTGCAGGTAAGATAAATGCCAAACAGTTAAAGGAAAAGCTAGTCCCTTCAAAGAAAATAAATTGAATTGCTAAGTGTAAAGCAAGCTACAATAATGAATTTCTTATATTTTTATATGACAGAACATAACAGGATTTGACATTTACAAGGGTAAGAAAATTCACAGTTAAAGTAACATATTATCTCGGATAACTCCTCATGTTTCAAGCACAAGCTAACTGCAAACTGTCTAGGGCTGGGAAGAAATTTCCTGTAGCGTGGACAGGTTATTCTGTTGGGTTTTTATAGTTTCTTGCACTTTTCTTCCTTAGCCAGAATCATGATGTGTGTAATGTGTCTCATGTATGGTGGTGTATGTTGTAAGAAGGGTGTAAAGTAGTGGAAAAAATGAGACAAATTCTTAAGACTCAATAAGGGATATGGAGATTTGAAGAGATGGGAAGGTAAATAAATAAATTTGTAGCAACAAGAAATATTCAAACTTTTGGTCGGAGAAGTGAAAATCTGTGTAGGGTATATAGTGATTATAATTATATACTTCAGTTGCTTTTTCAAACTTTATGCTCTCTGTAAAACTATCCATCAATCTTATTATACTAATGTAATCATGTGCTTGGAGTAAGGATATAAGAAGGCTTATTGCTGGCTAAAAATATGTAACTCATAATGGCAGGGCAGAGGATTGAGTTTATCCATGCATTCTGTAAAAATGTTTGCAATTGAACATTTCATATTAAATTTTAGTAGGTTCAAATGTCACTTTAATCTAACTTTCATTAAATTTGCAATAAAATAAAGTGGCTGTATGCCTGTGGTTGTTAACAAACTGAAGACCAATTCGCTATTAGATTTGAAGACTCCCTTTAGCTTTCAGAAATCTGGGACATTGTTGTTTTGAATGTGTGCCTTTCCAGGTCCAAAGAAATATCCTGTTTACAAGAAGGTGGCAAACAGAGTGTACTTAAACCAGCACCATTAATGAGGGGTCGAATGCAGAGGCCAAAACCAAATGTAGGAAGGGCAGCTGGAAGGCAAGAAGCATCAACAATAAAAAAAGATGTACAAGATGAAAAAACAGAAGTTGGAGAAGCAGTGAAGAGTTTGATACATTGTGAAAACAAAAGTGGTGCACTCCTCACCACAGGTGTAAGTTTCTTTCATCTGCACTGTAAGACTACTTTGCAGCTGCATGGGCACATTGTATTATTATATGGGGCCCAAGTAGATGTCTTAGAGCAGTGATGGTCAAAGTGCAATCCACAGAATTCCTGTGTAGCTTGTAGCTATCTTGCCTTTTAAAAGTGGCCTGAAACTTGCTAGGATCTGAATTCAAGCACTTGGAGATTCTGTGTTTCTACTGGAGCAGTAGATTACATCCCAAGAATCTAAAGTGCTGCGAGTTGCATTCCGTACCTTGTCTGTGATGATAGCTATAAAATGGGAAATACAGAATCCAAACGCCTATCTTTCAGAGACATGAAAGATAATTTGTAATATTTTAATTCTAAACAAATATTAAGGATTTGGAATCTTAAATAGTTTTCTTTATTTTACAAATACCTAGTGATAATACTTGATGTGCCTCTGAGTAAGGGGAGGCTTGTTTGAGGGTATATTAAATGTTAAAATGCTTTTGAAAAACGTACATTATTTTTCAGTACTTTCCGTCCTACAGAAAACAGCTTTTTCAAATCTTTTTAATGAGTGAAATTGTTGTTCCTTTTAGGATGCAACAGGTAATGAAGACATCCTGCTGTGCTCTGAGATATCAGAAAAAGAAGCCACTGCAGGACCTGAGACGGTGGTCTCAGTGCATGTAAAACAGCATTCCCAAGAGAAACCCTTGGGATCTGATAGCTGTGAACAAGAAAAGGAGTTATGTGTGGATGATTTGGAAGAGGTTTCAGATTTTGGTACAGGGTAAGTTTAAGTGAAGGAAAGGGAAAATGCAGAAGCACTGGATGTCTCCACACAGCGAACACCTTAATCTTCAAATTCCACACTTATGTTTAGTTAGCATCATCAAAGTAAAAATTAAACTGATTTTTAACTGAGCATATCTAACAGACCACTTTAATGTTGGATTTTTTAAAGTAAATCTGAAAGCAATAGGATTTCAGACGAGATGGGTAATAACTAGTTCCCCTTCTTTACATTTTATTTCTTTTTAAACCCTACAAGAATTCCTTGAATAGCCCTTTTTAAAGTGTAAATGCTATATAAAAGGATCTTGGATTGTGAGTCCAATTTTCAAACTTAAAGATTTTTGTAGGATGCCCAGAACCTGCAGGTGTAGACTTCAAAACAGTTCTTACCTGCGAATTCTTAAGTACTCATTTGAACTTTAAAATACGGAATTTGATCTTACTTTTAAGATTGAGGTGCCACATTTTGAAAATTGGGTTTAGATCTTATATGAGGTTTTAGATGCTGTGAGATGGTTAAACTTGTAGTGAATGACACATTCCTCATAAAATAAGACTCTGGGCTGCATTTGTCCAAAAGTTGCTGCTTTTACCAAGACATCTCTTTGCTTGCCCACCCATTATTTTATAGTTTTGTGATGTGCTTGCTTCCTTCTCATATTCCTGTTAATCTTTGGCAGCAACCTAAGTAATTGGAAGCTGCGGATTACATGCTTAGCTACTATATTGAGGAATAGCTGTTTTATAGAGGGTCATGTGTTAGTTTCAGTTGCACCGTTGTGCTCTGTACCATGTGTGGGAGCTAGGCTATATGGTTGTCACCTGTATTGCTTCTTTACATATTTTCTTTGGTCTAACAGAGACGCCAGTTCTCAACAAGAAGAAAAAGGGGCTGTTCAGACAACACATCTATTGAGGAATCAATTTCAGAGGCCAAAATCAAATGTAGGAAAGGAAGCTGGAGGAGGAGAAGTGCCAGGAGTGGATAAAGATGTGTCAGAGGACAACGGTGAAAAAGACAATAGTTTGATACAGTGTGACAGTAAATGCAGCATGCTTCCTGACCTAGATGTAAGTTTTGGATTTTTTTAATTAGAGCTGAAACTTTGGGGGTGTCTTTGAAAAGCTGTATTTATGTGCATTATTGTAGGTGCAACTGAGGAAAAACATTGGCAGAATTTTTACATAGAAGTTTATCCTTGTTGAACCAGGAAACCTGTCAAAGCTTAAAAAAATTAAAAATTCCATTTAGTGCTCTATGAAAATGTACCGTAAAGAACAAGCCTACCGTGGCAGAGTAATAGTTCAAATAGTCAGTTATTTTCCATCATTAGCAGGTGTCTGTCTTCATTCTCACCATTCCCTCTGCTCAGAAGTCCACTCAGCTCAGAAACAAAAGTGCTATTATAAAATATCAAAGAAATAATCCACAGAAATCTCCAGTTTAGTTTGAAAGCAGACATGGGTCATTTCCCTGAAGTACAGGACACTAATATTAAGCTGTTGTGTTGGGCCCCATGCCAGTTCTTGCTGACAGACATTTAAATTTCTGTATGTCTCAGTATTGGGCAAAAATTGAGGCTCTTCATTTGTGGACACTGGACAGCCTTGGAAAAATTTAGACCATGTTTAATAGTAATCTTAATGAACTCTGTCCCTTCTGCTTAAATTATAAGTATATTTTTTTCAGTTGTGCAGCATAAAACATTTGAGTGTTTTAGTTCAGATGTTTACACTATTAACACTTCTTTTAGAAAGCAGCAAAATGTGAAGTCATGCCATCCTTGCAGTCATTAGAAAAAGACGACCCTGCAGACTCTCAGGAAATATTTGCAACCCCAATAAGCCTTCAGTCCCCTAAAAAGCTTTCAGGATCTGAGAGTGGTGAACAAAATGTGTCTCCTCCACCTGCAGATAACCAGGAGAAGACTTCAGCTGTTGCTACCAGGTAACGGCTCTGTTCCTTTGTTTTGTTTCCTGAAAATAATAGTGAGGAGTTAGAAAATGAAATTAGTCTCCAGGTTTTCAACTGGCTAAGAAAATTAGCTGGAAGTACCTCTTTATATCAAACTTTTTTATTTTTGCATAGTAAATGCTGATCTGTTTACTAATTGAATTATTTCTACCCTAAACTTAAAATGAGTATATATTAATTTCAGGGTGGTAAATGTGATATCTTCAGTGGAATGACTTACCTCAGCATTTTCATGAAAATTGGATGTACAGTAGAACCTCAGAGTTAAGAACACCAGAGTTATGAACTGACTTGTCAACCACATACCTCATTTCGAACTGGAAATATGCGATCAGACAGCAGAGACCAAAAAAAAGCAAAGTACAGTACTGTGCTAAACGTAAACTACTTTAAAAAAATATATTTTTTTTGACAAAGTAAGGAAATGGTTTCTTCGCTTGTTCCATAAGAACATAAGAATGGCCCTACTTGGTCAGACCAAAGGTCCATCTAGCCCAGTATCCTGTCTTCTGACAGTGGCCAGTGCCACGTGCCCCAGAGGGAATGGACAGAACAGGTAATTCTCAAATGATCCATCCCGTCACTCATTCACGGCTTCTGCCAACCAGAGACTAGGGACACCATTCCTGCCCATCCTGGCTAATAGCCATTGATGGACCTCTCCTCCATGAATTTATCTAGTTCTTTTTTAAATCCTGTTATGGTCTTGGCCTTCACAATATCCTCTGGCAAGGAGTTCCACAGGTTGACTGTGCATTGTGTGAAGAAATACTTCTTTATTTATTTTTTTTAAACTTGCTGCCTATTAATTTCATTTGGTGACCCCCTTGTTTTTGTGTTATGAGAAGTAGTAAACAACATTTTCTTATCTACTTTCTCTACACCAGTCATGATTTTATAGACCTCAATCATATCTCTCCTTAGCTGTCTCTTTTCCAAGCTGAAAAGTCCCAGTCTTATTAATTTCTCCTCCATACCCTTAATCATTTTTGTTGCACTTTTCTGAACCTTTTCCAATTCCAATATATCTTTTTTGAGATGGGGTGACCACATCTGCACACAGTATTCAAGATGTGGGCGTACGATGGATTTATATAGAGGCAACATGATATTTTCTGTCCTATTATCTATCCCTTTCTTAATTATTCCCAGCATTCTGTTTGCTTTTTTGACTGCACAGTGAGTGGATGTTTCCAGAGAACTATCCACAATGACTACAAGATCTTTCTTGAGTGGTAACAGCTAATTTAGACCCCATCATTTTATATGTATAGTTGGGATTATGGTTTCCAATGTGCATTACTTTGCATTTATCAACATTAAACTTCATCTGCCATTTTGTTGCCCAGTCACCCAGTTTTGAGAGATCCTTTTGTAGCTCTCCGCGGTCTGCCTGGGTCTTAACTATCTTTAGTAATTTTGTATCCTCTGCAAATTTTGCCACCTCACTGTTTACCCCTTTTTCCAGATCATTTATGAATATGTTGAATAGGACTGGTCCCAGAACAGACCCCTGGGGGACACCACTATTTACTTCTCTCCATTCTGAAAACGGACCATTTATTCCTACCCTTTGTTTCCTATCTTCTAACCAGTTACCAATCCATGAGAGCACCTTCCCTCTTATCCCGTGGCAGCTTACTTTGCTTAAGAGCCTTTGGTGAGGGACCTCATCAAAGGCTTTCTGAAAATCTAAGTACACTATATCCACTGGATCCCCTTGGTCCACATACTTGTTGACCCCCTCAAAGAATTCTAGTAGATTGGTGAGGCATGATTTCCCTTTGCTAAAACTATGTTGACTCTTCCCCAACAAATTATGCTCATCTACGTGTCTGACAATTTTGTTCTTTACTATAGTTTCAATCAGTTTGCCCGGTACTGAAGTCAGGCTTACCGGCCTGTGATTGCCGGGATCACCTCTGTAGCCCTTTCTAAAAATTGGCATCACATTAGCTATCCTCCAGTCATCTGGTACAGAAGTTGATTTTAAATGATAGGTTACAGACTACAGTTAGTAGTTTTGCAGTTTCACATTTGGGTTCCTTCAGAACTCTTGGGTGAATACCATCTGGTTCTGGTGACTTATTGCTGTTTAATTTATCAGTTTGTTCCAAAACCTCTTCTAATGATACCCCAATTTGGGACAGTTCCTCAGATCTATCCCCTAAAAAGACTGGCTCAGGTTTGGGAATCTCCCTCACATCCTCAGCTGTGAAGACCAATGCAAAGAATTCATTTAGTTTCTCTGCAATGGCCTTAACGTCTTTGAGTGCTCCTTTAGCACCTCGATTGTCCAGTGGCCCCACTGGTTGTTTAGCAGGCTTACCGCTTACTGCTTCTTTTTTTTTTTTTTTTTTTTTTACTATTACTTTTTGGGTCTTTGGCTAACTGTTCCTCAAATTCTTTTTTGGCTTTCCTAATTGTATTTTTACACTTCATTTGCCAGTGTTTATGCTCCTTTCCATTTTCCTCACTAGGATTTAACTTCCACTTTTTAAAGGATGCCTTTTTGCCTATCTCTGCTTTTTACTTTGTTGGTTAGCCACGGTGGCTCTTTTTTGGTTCTCTTACTATATTGTTTAATTTGTGGTATAAATTTAAGTTGAGCCTCTATTATGGTGTCTTTAAAAAGTTTCCACGCTGCTTGCAGAGATTTCACTTTTAGCACTATACCCTTTAATTTCTGTTTAACTAACCTCCTGGTTTTTGTGTAGTTCCCCTTTCTGAAATTAAATGCTACAGTGTTGGGCCGCTGTGGTGTTTTTCCTGTCACAGAGATGCTAAATTTCATTATATTATGGTCACTATTACCAAGTGGTCCAGCTATATTCACCTCTTGGACCAGTTCTGTGCTTCACTTAGGACTAAATCAAGAATTGCCCGTCCTCTGGTGGGTTCCGGGACCAGCTGCTCCAAGAAGCAGTCATTTAAGGTGTCAAGAAACTTTATCTCTGCATCCTGTCCTGAGGTGACATGTACCCAGTCAATATGGCGATAATTGAAATCCCCCATTATTATAATTGAGTTTTTAATTGCCTCTCTAATCTCCCTGAGCATTTCACAGTCACTATCACCATTGTGGTTAGGTGGTCGGTAATATATCCCTACCGCTATATTCTTCTTACTGGAGCATGGAATTCCTATCCATAAAGGTTCTGTGGTACAATTTGATTCATTTATGATTTTTACTTCATTTGATTCTACGCTTTCTTTCACATATAATTGCCTCCCCGCCCCCCAAGCACAATCTGTTCTGTCCTTCCGATATATTTTTTACCCTGGTATTACTGTATCCCATTGATTATCCTCATTCCACCAAGTTTCTGTGATGCCTATTATATCAATATCCTCATTTAATATGATGCACTCTAGTTCAACCGTTTTATTATTTAGACTTCTAGCATTGGTATATACACACTTTAAAAACTTGTCTCCTTTTAGCTGTCTGCCATTACATGATGTGATTGAATGGGATTCTTTATTTGACTGATTGTTTCTGATCAGACCCTGCCTGTACGTCGTCATTTTTCCATCCTCTCGTCCTCATTAGGACATAGAGATTTTTCTATCAATAGATCCTCCTCCAGAGGATGTCCGAACCACGTGCTCCTCTGCACCTGTTGGCTTTCCCCCAGGCCTTAGTTTAAAAACCGCTCTACGACCTTTTTAATGTTAAGTGTTAGCAATCTGGTTCCATTTTGGTTTCGGTGGAGCCCATCTTTCCTGTACAGGCTCCCACTTTCCCAAAAGTTTCCCCAGTTCCTAATAAATCTAAATCCCTCCTCCCTACACCATTGTCTCGTCCACGCATTGAGATTCTACAGTTCTGCCTGTCTAACTGGCCCTGCACGTGGAACTGGGAGCATCTCAGAGAATGCTACCATGGAGGTCCTGGACTTCAGTCTCTTACCTAGCAGTCTAAATTTGGCCTCCAGGACCTCTCTTGTCCTTCCCTATGTCATTGGTACCTACATGTACCATGACCACTGGCTCCTCCCTAGCACTACACATAAGTCTTTCTAGATGTCTCGAGAGATCCGCAACCTTCGCACCAGTCAGGCAACTCACAATGTGGTTCTCCCGGTCATCAGAAACCCAGCTATCTATGTTTCTAATGATCAAATCGCCCGTTACTAATACCTGTCTCTTTTTAATAGCTGGAGTTCCCTCCCCTGGAGGGGTATCCTCATTGCGAGAGGATACCACAACATCATCTGGAAGGAGGGTCCCAACTATGGGATTGTTTCCCTCTGCTCCAGTTAGATGCTCTCCTTCCCTGGGAATTTCATCCTCCTCAACAGAACAGAGGCTGTCAGACCGGGGGGTGGGACCGTTCTACCGGAAAGTCTCATCTATGTACCTCTGTCTCCCTCAGCTCCTCCAGTTCAGCCACTCTGGTCTCCAAACCCCTTCATGGTCTCTGAGGACCAGGAGCACCTTTCACCAAATGCAAACATACGCCACTTGCCCATAGGGCAGGTAATCCTACATGCTGTATTGGGTTCAATAAACTGGGTAGCTGCCACTCTATTGCTGGACTTCTGCCTGCATTCTCTTTTTACTCCTGCAGCTGTTTCCTTTTGTTTATATCAAGGGAGTGTTTTTGGCTTTTAAGTTTTTTAAAGAATGTTGAGTTCTAGCCCCTGTTCACACTCCCCCTGGAGAACTCCCTCGCAAAACTCCCGTTAGCCGCTCCTGTTCATTAAATTAAAATGGTTAAAAGCAGCATTTTTCTTCCTGCGTCGTAAAGTTTCAAGCTGTGTTAAGTTAATGTTCAGTTGAAAACTTTTGAAAGAACAACCACAATGTTTTGTTCAGAGTTATGAATATTTCATACTTACGAACACCCTCCATTTCTGAAGTGTCCTTAAGCTATAACAGAAACTCACTAATTTGCTTTTGTATCTGCGAGACCTGTTGAAAATCACTGCAAACAAAGCTAATGCCTAAGACAACTTAATTCTATAATGGATGCACTGAGGTAATGAGGTTTCTCTAATGCTCTTCTGCAAAATTTTTGCTGAGGTGAGGAGAAACTGCAGTTTTTTTGTTCAAATTACTATTTGCTGTGGGAGAGGTTCACAACCTTTTTCTTTCTGAGGCCCCCCCAACATGCTATTAAAAACTCCATAGCCCACCTGTGCCACAACAACTGCTTTTCTGCATATAAAAAACAGAGCTGGCGTTAAGGGATAGCAAGCCAGGTAATTGCCTGGTGCCCCATGCCACTGTGGCTCCTGCAAAGCTACATTGCTCAGGTTTCAGCTTCAGCCCTGGGTGGTGGTGCTCAGGGCCATTGGGTTCAGCCCCATGCAGTGGAGCTTCGGCTTTCTGCCTTGGGCCCCAGCAAGTCTAATGCTGGCCCTGCTTGGCAGCCCCCCTGAAATCTGTTCACGACCCTCCCAGGGGGCACCGGACCCCTGGCTGAAAACCACTGTGCTATGGTATTTGTTTAAAATTTAACATCTGCACTGTTAGAGAAAAACAGAACAGAAAGACTTTATTGATATAGATGTAACTGACCTATGAATACTAGTATTATGTTTGCATTACAGAGGATTTCAGATATCACGTTGCTTTTTTTCTCAGGCTCCACAGCAACCACATCTCTCAAGGAGAAAGTAAACCAGCCTCTCTCCAGCCAGCCCAGATAGTGAGGAGCCGATTCCAGAGACCCAAGCCAAACATAGGACGGGCAGTTGGAAGGAAAGAAACACGAGCAACAGAAAAGGATGAAACTGAAAAAAAGACTGAAGCTGAGCAATCAGCTCTGCAAAAAGATGAATCTGCTGGCATCCCCTCCACTATAGTAAGTTGTAGTAGAAGTAAACAACTTCAAGGCATTTTCTTTAATATTTAACTTCTCAAAAAGGAGTATAATGCAGCTGTTAGGTAGCAAACAGATTGAAGCTTAGACGGTGTACTATGGTAAAACCTTATCAGGTTGAGTTATTGCAGACATTACAACTGTGAACTCTCTTTAAAATCTATTTATTTTTAATAAATAAAAGCTTTATTATGGAAAACGAAGGGTATGGTTTTGGTTGGATTGCAATAGAGGGAAAGATTAGGCACAATCAAGTAACTCCTGGCTGGGCTCATATCAACTACTTAAAAATATGGGTTTTGCATCATCCTTCCTGATTAAATAAGAGGCAAGGAAGGAACAGCAGGAAACTATCAGTTCTTACATACAAAGCTACATTCTATTTTTTAAGCTCTTTGTGGCACAGCACTACTGCCATAGAAGTAAAACTATGCCTGCTGACTTTCCTATAAGCATGGGTAACCTTAGGCAAGTCACTTAGCACCTTCTACCCCTGTTTAAGCATCTGTAAAGTAGAGGATATTTAGCTGCATTTTGTTTACTGATTCTTAGGTTGTGTAACTTGCAATGAAATCCTCTGAAAGCCACTAAGTGCAAAACAGTGTGCCCAAAACTTTCAAACTTGGGTGTCTATAGTTGAGCTTCTAAATCTCCTAAGGTGCCTAAATATGGATTTAGATGCCTACCTGTGTGCACTCAGATTTTAAAATTCTGTCCTATGATTTTTTTTCTGCCTGCCCATTAATAGAATTACATGCTCGGATAGTTTTCATTTTCAGATCCTCAGAGGGCCTTATTTTCTGCGATTTTATAAAATGCAGTCCTAGTTTAAAACATGGGGCATTTTAGTACTTGTTTGCAGTACATGACCACTATTGATGATAGTTATATTTTCAGCACAAGTCAAAGGGTGAAAATGAAGCTGTATCTTCTGAAGCTTCAGGAGATAAGTTGTTGGGTTGTGAGAAACAGACACCAGAAGGAGAATCTCCAGTGCCTGATATTTACCAAAATGTGTCAGATGAACAAAGCAGGTGAGCTGAGTTTTAGGAAACAAGTTTGAACGCTTTTCATGCAAACATTTACCTATTGTACAAATGAGATCCCTGTGCATGTATCAGTACCTTTCTTCCCATTGTTTTCCAATTCGTTCTGGTCTTTTATTTCAGTGCTAGCATCTAACATTTTCACTCTGTGGTTTTCTTTAGTTGAGCCCAGGTGCTTGATATTGTTTCTCTGTGAGGCTGTCTTGAATATATTTGAATTCAAAGTTCTTTCCTACCAAGTTTTGTCTTCATGGGGGTAGCTTTTTCCAAATGCATATAAATGTCTAATACATTAATACTTGCATGTTTTTTCAAATAAGATTTCCAGTATCGTTAATGGCAAAGTCCTTATTTGTTTCCTTTGACCCAATATATTCTTATGTTACTAGTCTAGGTGAATGCAAGTGCTAAATATGTATTTTGTTACTGGTTTCCCTGATGCTATTTGTGTTGCTAGCAACAGAAAAACTCAAGTTCCTAATTACATAAATAACTAAAATAGCTAGATCTCCAACAGTTTTATGCCTCTTATAGACAAATAATACCTCCAAAAATACTTTCTTTAAATAGATCTTTTTTCAAACCAAAAGAAATTCTACAAACTTTTTTAAACACTAATTCTTTAAAACAACTTCTTAGCCTTTGCCTCATTCATAGGGCCAGCACTTGCAAGGCAACACGTTCTGTCCTTGGAGCCAGGGAACAATGCATGTGGTTGTTCCTTTTGGGGATTCTAGAGGAAGTCACATTTTTCCAGCACCCACAGGCAAGGGAAATCTTTTGGCTTGACACGTGTATCTTGACTGGGGGAGAGAAGTAAAGTAGTAATGGTGGGATTCTAGAGATCCACCATCTTCCAAATATCTTGCTTCTGCCCTTCATTTTTACTCCTTGGTTACCTCTTATCTTTTATTTATAAGAAATTTAGAAAGATTAAAAAGCTAATCTGAGTACCACTGGAACCAGAGTAGCTATAACGAAATGCCGTCACTTTCCCTTCTTGTTACTGATGCACCTATATGTTAAAAATGAAATAACGTGGCACTAATTAACCTGAGGTATTTGCGGTTCTTAGATCCTGCCCAATTACAAGCAAAGGGGTTGGACTAACAAATTTTGGAGTGCTTCGTTTGTTGTGGTGCTTTTTAAATCATTGCACAATTTCAAACACTCTACATTTTTATTGGCAATATTGCAACCTCTCTCATTACAGGAGCAATAAATGGATTTTTTTACATCTTATTTTTAAATTAAGAAGCATAAGGCACACTTTTTTTTATTGTTAGTTTATATTTACAATTGCAACTTAATGCTGTTAGTAGACATTATGAATTAACATGAAGTATTGTTAGCGTCACAATTTAAGACCAAGTTACGATGCCTTCTCACCCATAACCCTTAAAATCAAAAAAGGGTTTACGTATAACTGATATATTCAGGTAGCAGTATTGTCACACAGGCATAACTAGAATATAAATATTTAAATTCTGGAAATTAGGTATCTAGAAAGCCAGAATTTGTTCAGCCCCTTCACGCTGCTTCTTTCTGGCTTGGGCTACTTCCTAGTATTATGAAAATAGCTAGCAGTGATGTTATGACAAAAAGCAGAAAAATAATAGTAAGAAAAATCTTGACACTGGGCTTTGGCTATGTTACATGTTCAGAGTTACTCCCCAAATGCTGAAAACTAGAAACTGTAAATACTAAAGGAGCACATTTTCCTCGTCTTAAACCAAAAGGCACAGCATGAAAAAATTTGTAACTCTTTTGTATAAGTATTGATTTTAGAAAATCTGTTAACAATGAGTGCGGTAACAGGTTCCATTAACTGTAACCATGTGACATTTTCTGTTTTTAAATCATTGGCACTGAAAAATCCAGTTCCCAAGAAGATAAGACATGTGCTATCAAACCAGCACAGCTAATGAGGAGTCGGTTCCAGAGGGCTAGACCAAACCTGGGAAGGGCATATGGCAAGAAAGAAGAGCCAGTGGCAGAAAAAGTTACTGCTCCAGTTGAAGGGGAAACAGGAAAAGCAGAGGAGAGCCCTTTACCACACAGGGTTTCTGATGTACACCTCTCTCCAAAAGTGAGAATTTTACTGAGATCTTTTTGTTTGTTTATTGATACCCGTCTTTTATCTGCAGCTTTTGTGAAGAAATTGCTTAAGTAGGCTAATAAACCCACATACTAGGCATGAATTAAATCATATTTTTGTATCCTTATGCATGATACTTACAGTTTAATATAAACCAATCAGGAACACAGTACAAATGCCTAGATGTTTGTTAAGCAAATGGTAAGATTTATTCTGTTTCTTTACCTAAAAAACTAAAGACATTTTGAAATTTCAGATATTTTCATTGCACTCCATGTTTAATATGCACAGGCATTTTAAATACACTACAGGCTATTCCTTATTGCCATGTTTTTTATTCAGAGACCTGTAGTAACTGATCCAAAAGGAGACTACTGGATGTTTTTTATCTTCCTAGACTAGTGGTTCTCAAAACTTTTGTATTGGTGACCCCTTTCATACAGCAAGCCTCTGAGTGCGACTCCCCCCTTCTACATCAAAAACACATTTAAAAAAAAATTTAACACAATTATAAATGCTGGAGGCAAAGTGGGGTTTGGGGGTGGAGGCTGACAGCTTACAACCCCCATGTAATAACCTCATAACCCCCTGAGGGGTCATGACCTTCAGTTTGAGAACCCCTGTCCTAAAGACTACCTTGCCTTTATTGAAGGAATAGCAGTAGTGACTAGTTACTGTAAGATGCTTAAAGCCTTTAGAAAGAAGTTCTGATTCAGATTAATTGATGGATTACTCAGAATGCTTTTTTGTTCTTTAAAATATCATATTTAATATTAATAATTTTTGCTGTTCTAAAATAAATTAAAGGCTGAAGTGGAGGCCCAAAAAGATGGTTCAGATTCCTGTGGGGTCACCTCACCAAAAAGAAGCATTCAATCAGAAAAACTTTGCTCCCTTGAGAAATCTTTGAGCTGCAACAATCAGCAAGATCAAAGAAAGAGTTGTATGTCTACAGATGTTGAGAGCAGGCTTCCGAATTCTTCTGAAAGGTAACGTTCACATTTCATAAATGAATGGTCTTTAAAACACTATTGTGCTAATACAATTTTTAAATGTGAATGGAAGTATTGTAAAGCTATATCAGTAATATATAACTTTTGTTATGGCAGGGGTCACCAGGTGGCACCATTACATAATCTTAGTTTGTTTTCTTGTTGTGCGAGCACATTTTTAATCTTGGGGGAAAAAAATGTCCTGATATTGTTTTGCTGTGGTTTTGGTTTTTTCCCTGTCCCTTTGGTGGAGCTGTGGCAAGCAGCAAGGGAGTTTATTTTCTGCCTCACTGTCACGAACATAGTTTTGAGGCATAGTTATTCTGTGGGATCCAGGCAAGGATGTTTACGTTTAGGCCTTTGAAAGCTGGGACTGTCTGCATGCCATTTATTCCCACCTCTGATCAAGGACTGTGTATGCATAAAATGAACAAGCTGTATTCATGCTATATCCAGATTCACTTATTTCTTCTCTTGTGGGAAGTTGACCCTCAAAGCCCTGACATCTGCTACCATTGCTATAATCTTAATTTTGCCAACCTCCTTGACTAGTTTACGGATTTATTCCTTGTGTTTGAAGAGTCATTTGTAAGCTCTATAGTTCTTAATATAACCAGACTGAAGGACTACTTCTTGGCAGCCTCTTGGCTGTAGTGAAGACAACAAAATCAGAGTTAGGGATGAATGCCAACCCTTCATTTTATCCAGTTCATCAGATTTTTTCATGACCAGATTTGATTACATTCTGAATTCCTGCAATGTTATCCTGCTTTTGTTTGCAATAAAATATTACTCCACTGGCCAGTGTTGCTTTGTCATTAGACAGTGCATCATGTCAAGATGAGATTTTTCTCTAAGTCAATAACATGTACCTCCGTATTCATTTGGCCAGATCTTGGATTCTTTCTTTCGTCCAATTGCAGAAACTTTCCAATCTTCAGACCATCAAATCAATTTTATGGAAGAAGTTCAGACTCTTGATTACCAACACCCTAGTATCGGAGAAGACTTCCCCTCTTCTATCCCAGGAGAAACAAATAGTGGATGAAAAGATGTCCCATCATCACCCATCATTTGTTTGGAGGGGAAAAAAATCTTGACTTGCATTCGGGTTAGCTTTGGGCACCTTGAGCCCACAGTGGCTTGTCCTCTCCTGCACCCCACCCCCCAAAATATTCCACTTGCACTCAAGAGCCAGTACTGCTTCAAAGAAAACTGAAACATCCACCACTGAAAACGATGTGCAGGCAATTTCCCTTTTCGTATCTTCCTTTTCCCCTGAGTGGACTTCTTAATATACTGTGTGCAATGAACCTTTATAGGAGTTGCCTTTTTTTTTTCCTGGTTCACATTGGGCAGATGTTACATATAGTTAGGTCAGTACAGTAGATTTGCAAAAGCTGTTTTAATGGTCTGTGACTGCTGATATGTACAATCATAATATTTTTCTAGGTCCAGTTCTGGAGAAGAAAGTAAACAAAGTGCTATAAAACCTGCACAGCTAGTGAGGAGCCATTTACGGAGGCCAAAGCCAAACCTAGTTAGAGCAACAAGAAAGAAAGAAGTCCTTGAAGAGGGAGAAAACACAACTGAGGAAAAGACTGAAGGTAGAAATACAGAAGAAGGTCTGATATCCTGTGATATAAAATCAGAAAACCTAACCTCATTACTGGTAAGTACTGAACGTCTGATCTAAGTCAGTCTGTTATGTCAATGACTGAATTCTTTTCTTCCGCTTTCTTCTTCTTATGACCTATGGATTTTGTGGAATCTACTTTCTGGATGTGAGGGGTTAAATTGGTTCTTTGCATCTCATTGCCAGCAGTGAACTGATGTAAAAATAATGAGCACAAAGCCTACATACTTCAGAAGTATTTTAAAAGAAAATGTTTCAGCTTTTATATTTTACTGTATTACATTTTGATTTGCCATCAGTAACTTCATTCGCTTCCCTATTCTGTAATTTCATTACCTGCAAATGTAAATAAGTGTCCTTTACACACCGAACAATACAAATAAAGGCATAACCACAACTGCTTAAAATCTGTATGTATGCACACAAGGTCTTTTGTGGCTTATATATTAAATATTAGTGGATATGGAACTACATGATTCAGGCTTTTATTTTTTTATTTTAATTTCCGGGATAGCACTGAGCTGACATAGGATGCTTTACTCTATTTCTGTTGTCTGCAATGTATAACTCAGACTTTTTTTATTTCCTCTTCAGTATATGGTTCTGTCACAGCGTGGCTTGTCCTTGTAATTGAAATAGGTCCGGTGCCTCTGTGCCAGTTGGGGCAGGACTGCATCTGGATTTATAAAGGGTCAGCGAGAGATTGGGGAGAGGGAGTGTCAAACTGGCTGAGAGAGCTAGGAAGCAGGAGCAGCAGAATTGCTAGAGTCCCCTGGGATGGGAGGCAGAGAGAGCCTGAGTTGTAAAGGGTGAGCTGAGTGCAGGACTGTTTCTGTACATTTGGACAATAAAACTGTGTTAAAAGAGACTGTGGGCATGGCAGTGAGTCCTTAGCAAGCTGAGGAGAAGCCCTGCCTTCTGACAGGTTCACTAAATATTTGGGCCTGCAAATTATTCCAGCCAAAGGCCCATAGCTGATGAAGTACAATTACTGATACATGTTTTAAAAAGTGAGATGTTCTTACTCAACTGAAGCAACCAATGACTGGCTGAGATTGTGACTTACTGGATAAGGTGAAGATTATTCTTTCACCCCCTAATAATTTTCTGGTTTTATGGTGAAGGTTTCTCAGTGAATTTTGATGGCTAATGGGTTTCTGCCATCATCTCAGAAGGAAAAGTTCAAGGGTTCTATGTCAGTAGAGCTCCTGAAGGAAATAGCAACAACAAAATGCTCGGAGTGCTCCCATCACTTACTGTAGGGATATCTCTGCTCTGGGCAAACTTTCTAGTATGTCTGAATGAGGAAAGGTTTTTAAAAAACAAACAAAGAAAAAACCTAGGCATGGTTAGTCTTCAGAAAAGAAGACTGAGGGGGAACCTGATAAGTCTTCAGATATGTTAAGTGCTGTAATAAAGAGGACTGTGATCATTTGTTCTCCATGCCACTGAACATAAGACCAAAAGTAATGGACTTAATGTGCAGCAAGGGAGATTTCCGTTAGATATTAGGAGAAACTTTCTAACTATCAGGGTATTCCGGATAGTAACTAGGCTTCCAAGGGAATCCCAATCAGTGTTTAGAGATAACAGAAAACTCTTAATACAATTAGTATAGCATTGTCCACTGTCAAATATAAACTTACTTTGGCCGTCATTGTCTTCATGTCTGTTTAGCACACATCTCGTAACTTAGTGGAAGTTGCATCCTCCTCAGAGGATTCACGGAAAAAAGAGTCTGCAAACAGTATTGATGCAGTGCCTCCTAAAAGGAGCAGGCAGTCCTGTAAATTCCAGTCTCCAGAGAGATTGTCGGAGAGTGAAAGTCAAATAGAACAAGAGGAAGATTCTCAGCCTCTTTATGCTCAGGAGAAGACCTCAAACAAACTGATAAGGTGAAGTAACTAAGGGTTTAATGATACTAGTCCAACTAAGATCCCATAGTTAAGTGTCTCACTTTTTCTGTCTGACCACTCTTCTGATGTGGGGGAGGGGAAGGGGGGTGGGTGGGCATGCGCACTCATACTTATTCCCCAGATGTTTTTTAATGGCTGGAATACTCATCTTAAAACTCTTGACCTCTTTAGCCACCCACTGTAGTTGAGTCTTTCTCCTGCAAAGTCAGTGTGGAGACTAGGCTTTTTCTTGACTATGCTGCCTGCTGAAGGGTTCACAGATTGTAAAATACACATGCGCGCGCACACGCTCTTGATTCTCCACAATAAAAAGGAAACAATCCCCTCCTCGCTATTGCCATAAATGACCAGGTCCTTTAAATTTCACTGCACAGCACAGTTTTCCAGAATTTCCGCCTGAAGTTAAAAGATAAGGAAACTAATTATATCCACAATACAATATCAGTACTTTGAACATTCACAAAGGAATGGGGAATGCTGACCAAGGGAAGTACTGATTTTTATTTTTCCCAGTGTATGATTGTAATTATCATGTCACAACAGTGGTCATAATCCCAATTACCATGTGAGTTCACTGCGACTGTAATATTAATTCCTTTTTATGTTTAATATTGCTACTTTACTAAAAAGTTAATTTCTTTTTTATATCCATTTAGAAGGCAGTCTAGAAGGTCATCCGAACAGGGAGGCCTGCCAAAACGTGTATCTGAGCTAAGAACTTCTTCTGCCTCTGAATGTGAAGTTGATCGCTGTGAAAAGGGAAAACCACGTCAAAAGACTAAACCAAATATCACCAAAGGCAAAGGCTTGAAAACTGCCCACAGCAAGAGATCTGGGAAAGAACATGGGAGTTCAAAGGTAACCTTGGTGACCCTCCGGGCTTCTCAGGAGGAGGATGAAGATGATGCAGATGAATTTGAGCTGGATGATGAAGATGAATGTTTTTCACCAGAAGAAGTAAACAAGGCTCCAGTGTTTGTTCCTGTAGGTCTTCGATCTCCAAAACCTGTTCCTGTCCAGATTGAGGAAACCATGGAAGAGGTATGACCTGTTGACTTGTTTTGTAGAGGTCTGGTGTATTGGAGTGTAGTCTTTCCTTTTGCCACCAGCTTTTCTCTCACTTGCTTTCACCTGCGTTGTAGTAACAATAGCAGTTTATTTTACAAACACGTTGTGGGTGTGCAGGTTTTCTGTTTTGTTTGGTTGACGAGTGGAGTGGCGTTAATATTTGTGGCATGTGTTCTTGGTTCTGGACAAGATGCACAGGCTGCTCAGGGAATGTAGCCTAAAGCCCAGTCCTGCAATGAGTGTTGTGTGGGAGGCTCTGTTTCATTCAGTGGGGTTCTGTGTGAGCACAGGAGTCCACCTTTGCAGAGTACATTGCAAGCTTGAGGCCTAAGACAGAATGAATGCAAACATTTCAATTTCATGTTTGAGTGTCCGAATCAGAGAAACCTGTGTTCTTCTGCTTGCTCTCTCAGGAAACACATCTGACCATAACAATGTCCAAAACGATTGGCAGCTGTGGTGGAAACATGACTGACTGGGAGAAGGAGCTGGGGTCAAGTCTGGGAGTGGCTGGGCAAGGAGCAAGGGAGCAAGACTGAAAACTGAGCAAAGAGACTAGGATGAGGAGCCAGGGGAGGGGGAGAAACAGGACTGAGATAAGGACAGAATGGAGGGGACAAACTAGAAGGTGTCAATGAGGGAGTGGGCCAGAAAGGTCCATGATCACAGGAACACGCTTCCCTCTAGAATGGAACCAAAATGATTCCTGAGTCTCAACATTCTTCGACTGTCAGTAAGTAAACGTGAAGCCCAGTGGCAAAGTGTCTCTCTGTGTCATCCCCCTCTAGTGGTTAGTCCACAGAGGATGACCACTTACTATTGCTACCAGTTACTCTTAGCTCAAGTGGCAGAGAGCTATGATATGGCTCTAAAGGTTCCAACCCAGCTCATGACCCATGTGAGTGTCAATGGTTCCACATGATAGAATTTGTTTTCTGATTGTTTTTCTTTTTTTTTTTTAAAGACTAGAAAAAATATGTGGTCGTGTAATTAAAGACGATTATGGTGAACTTACTTAAGGGGCCCGAGTTCAGACTGCACAGGCAACTTTAATTCTAACATTTTCTAATTTTGGGTGCTTCACTTTGCAACCTTAACATTCTTTTAACAGTTTTTTTTTTTTTGAGTGCAATACATACATTAATATGTATAATGTCATGAAACAAGAATGTTATCGTCAGATATGTTTCTTGAGAGACCAAACAGAAGAACACAGGTTGCTCTGATTCTGACGCTCAAAGATGAAATTGAAATGTTTGCATCCATTCTGTCTTAGGCCTCGAGCTACTAATTTTAATATTTGGTTTAGAAAAAAATAGTTTTACGTGATGTGCATATACAGCCATTTTCTTATGTGTTCCTGCAAGTTTTAGACCACTTTCCATTTTTGAATAAATAGGAATAACTTTGATTTTTGCAGCTTGAAATATCTGTGAATGTCCCAGATGTGCCCTGCATTACTACTGCTGAATATCTGTCTCATGATTTAAATGTGGTTGTCCAGCCTGTGATGCAGAGAGATGAAAATCTGAATGCCTCACAAATCGTAAGCATTCCTTTTTTAGTACTATGCTTATGGTTATGTAGTATGTTTAATTTTTATAGTATTAAACATCAGAGAAAATGTAAAATAGTAATAGTATGGCATAATATAGTGTAATAGATGGGCATGGCATGTGCAGGAAGTGTGCAGATTTTCTTCAGATGGCTTTGTCAGTCCAGTGTTGATGCTGTACAACCCCATTCAATCAGAGCGGATTGCTCATGCTGAACTTTGCAGTAGAGAATTGGCCATTGGGCTTAAATTGAAATCCCTTAATTTTATTTGGGATTTTGGCTGTATTTGACAGATCATTTATCTCTTTTCTTCAAGGAAGTGACTACACATGAAAATCCAGAGACCGACACAGGTAAATACAAGAGACACTTATTTATGAGTGGCCCTCTATCTTGACATCAAGCCAGCCAACCCTGAGTTGATGAGGTCCCATACGTAGTTTTGGAGGAGCTGTGCTAACTGACTACTTCTTCAGTGAGGTCCATCAGACAGACCAAGTTATAAGTCTGTTGGCTTAGGTCCAGATTGTGGCTGTCCTGTGTCTCCTCACTCCCATGCACTGGTTTCCCATACTGTGGGTAGTTGTGCTATGGGAAAAGCAGCCTTTGCAGGGGCTTGCAACATGCCTGAAAGGTGCGGGAATAGATAAATCCATGGCTCTGGTACCAACCACCATTCCCATCCCTCTCGCAGACTTGCTAGCCAGCACATGCTATGGGGGAAACAGGGAAACATCATGACTGAGTCAGAAATTGCTTCCTGGTCTGCTCCCAGGGCAGTAAAATATTTTTTCCCCATACATGGGGCTCATTGCAAAAAGCCCCAATTGATCCATTGGTTTTTAGAATTGAATTTGAAACTTTGCTAAGAGATGGCTTTGTTTAAAGGTAAATAACATTTTCAGTGAAGAGGCAAAACCCTATTGGAGTTTATGGGCTTATTTCAGTATGATGACTTTGGAACACAGAAATGTTGTATCCTATGTTACTAAGTAGTGGAAGATGAAAGGAGGAGATACCTGTCATCCAGTGGATAGGACACAGGAATGAGTCATGAGACCTGGGTCTAAACCGACCTGGATCTAGACCAGAGGTGCGCAAACTACGGATGTGGCCTGTGGGACCGTCCTGCCCAGACCCTGAGCCCCCGCCCCCGCTGTCCCCCCCGCCCCCACAGCCTCAGCTTCCCGTGCCGCCAGCACTCTGAGCAGTATGGTAAGGGAATGGGGAGTGGGGGGGTTGGATAAGGGGCAGGGGGTCCTGGGGGCAGTCAGGGGATAGGGAGAAGGGGGCGGTTTGATAGGCCTGGGAGTCCCGGGGGGGCTGTCAGGGGGCGGGGGTGTGGATAGAGGTCAGGGCAGTCAGGGGACAGGGAGCAGGGGGTTGGATGGGGCTGGGGTCCGGGGGGGTGATTAGGGGTGGGGGTGTGGATGGGGGCAGGGCAGTCAGGGTACAGTGAGCTAGGGGGAGGTTGGATGGGGTGGAGGTTTGGGGGAGGGTCAGGGGATGGGGAACAGGGGAGGTTGGATAGGCCTGGGAGTCCCGGGGGACCTGTTTGGGGGTGGGGGTGTGGATAGTGGTCAGGGGACAGGGAGCAGGGGAGGTTGGATGGGGGTGGGGTCCTGGGGGATGGTTAGGGGCGATGGTTCTGGTAGGGGGTGGTGAGGGGACAAGGATCTGGGGGGGTTGGATGGGTTGGGAGTTCTGAGGGGGGGCGGTAAGTGGGAGGGGGTGGATAGGGGGCAGGGGCCAAGCTGTTTGGGGAGACAGAGCCTTCCCTACCCGGCCCTCCGTACAGTTTCGCAATGCCGATGTGGCCCTCAAAACTTTGCCCACCCCTGGTCTAGACCCAAATGTCTGTGTGACTTGAGCAAATTGCTTCCTCTGTCCATGTTTCCCCCTCTATAAAATGGGAATACTGCTGCTTACTCAATGTTTGTAGAACATCTTTAGTTTAATGGATGACTATCACTATGTGTGTTAATGATTGCTACTAATATCTGGAATCCCCAAGAGGAAACAAATTGAAAAAATGTTTTTTTTCAAGTTAGCAGAGACGGTAATATCTGCTTTTTTAATCATGTTTTAGTTAAACTTCTAACGAAATGACTGTGCTTGTGATTTTACATGTATGTGAACAATTTTGCAGGGATTAGTGATGGAAGTACTGAAGCTGCCATGACATTACTTGCAATGGGAGATCCAATGTTTCAGTTAAAAATAAGCACTCAAGGTATGATCTATTTATCTGCCAAACCCTTCCATATGGGTTCATTTGTGCGTTGGGGTTTGAAAGGTTGAGGTCATAATGACCCTTCCTTCATATTCTCTCACTATAGCAGCAGGTGTGGATTCCTCCTTTGTGTTCAGTATGAAAGAGAGGAGGATGGATTGGGCCATGATTCACTGTCTAGTGAGGTAAAGTGGTCCAGCCCCTAGCCAAAATACTGCCAACTCCACTACATGTTTGCTAGAGGTGCATAGAGCTCTTTTTCAGCAAAACACTGATATGTAAGATGGAATACATGCCCTGATCAACTCATTTCATACCGGCAGTATGACTCTTGTACGTAATGGGCATTCAGCACCTTTTCTCTCTACTGTCCTCTGTACCACTAAGAAGGATTTTGCAGGTGTGTATGTGGATATTTTCACTACTATGTACTACAGTTACTTCAAATTCAGGCTAATAAAGTACTCATGTCACCACACACTCAGATGAATCATGTTATGATTAAAATTTAAGTCTAGGTCATTTTTTTGTCTTACCTTTTCTGAGATAGATCCAGAACTTGTCCTCAGGTTTGGTCTCTTGCTTTGAGTTAGCAGCATCAGCAATACTGCAGAGAAGGAGTTGGGGAACAGAAAAAAAAATTTTTTTTTTTTTTAAAGAAGCCAATATAGATGGCACAACCACTGCCACCCATATTGAAAGAACTGTTGCAGCACTACGTAACTGGCACAGGAAGCAAGGGGGGAGAGGAAGTAAATTAATTTTCACTTCAGCCTTCAGCTCTTCATAGAGGTTCAATTGGCTCTTAAAGCTTTAGGAAAGGAGTTGCTGAATTCTTACGGTTCTTAACTGATCTTTCAATGGATAAAATGTATTAGTTCTTTCTTTGATAGGACACTCAGGTTGTTCACCGAAGTGTTTTTGTTAATTTTTAAGACAAAATTGTATAAAAACAAATGGCAATTCAAAGGCTGAAGATTTGGTATCCTCATCCAGTCTCTTTTGGGAGATGAAACTTGATCTAGTAAAAGCATTTAATGACAGGATTTTTTTTTTAAAAAAGTATTAAACTAGTACTAAGATTATTTTCATTATCCCTGAATCCCCAAAACGTGGTTATGTTCAGTAGTGTGATTGGTGCAGCTGAGACATAAATATCAAGTCACTCTATACCCTGGAGAGCTTATACTCTAGAAAATAAACATGGAAAGACAGGATATGCTAGAGGAGATCCAGAAAAAGCATTAGACCCCTAGATTTTTCTGTTGTGATTCTTTTTGTGTAGGTCTTACAGAGACTGTTGTCTCATGAGTCAGACCAATGGAGAAGAGCCAGGTTTATGTGGTCCATAGTAGTCCATCTGTTTCGTCTTACTTCTTTAACCAGAAAAATTGTTTTCCATTCTGTTTAGCTATACTGTTAAATCATTAGAGTCCTGTGGCACCGTATAGACTAACAGACGTATTGAAGCAAAGCTTTTGTGGGTGAATACCCACTTCATCGGATGCATTCGACGAAGTGGGTATTCACCCACGAAAGCTTATGCTCCAATACATCTGTTAGTCTATAAGGTGCCACAGGACTCTTTGCTGCTTTTACAGATCAAGACTAACCCGGCTACCCCTCTGATACTTGTTAAATCATCGTTTATTAACCTGGCATTAGGTTGACTTTTAACATATGTAGAGGTAATCCCTGCACTCTAACGAACAAAAAATCTAGTCGTCAAGATGTGTTTTTACCCAGGATTTGAATTTGTATCTCTTTAGAATGCAGTTATTCAGAATGAAGCCTATAGTTGATCTACCTGTAAATAGCTTCATGTGGAGACATAAACTTGCATCTTTTTAATTATGGCTTTATTTTTAAACAAGGAAGGACACAGGTGTTTCCTGATCAAGATGAATTACACATGGCTGATGGCCTCATAAACCAGCCTAATACAGAGCAAAATGTGGCCCCAAGTAATCAGTCACTTTCTTCACCTACTAATAATGAACTGGTTCCCTCAGAGGATGGAAACAAAGTCATTCTACCGGACCACAGTTCTGGAAAAGAAGCAAGTGTACACATTTTTTTTAAGGAAGATGCTGCACCCACCAGGTTAATTTCACTGTTTTTCTTTAATCTTTTTCCCCCCCGCAGTGATCTGTTCTCTGACAGGGCTCCCCTTTAAGGCTTCTGCCACCATACTCTTAAGCTGACAAGTAGTCTTGTTTTTAGCTATCATGGCTCATAGGTTATGTAGTTCCGCTCCATATTGATGCCTGTCCTTTTTTCTTCCCTTTTAAATAGGGACTTTATGTTTAGGTTAAAATAGGAGTGATGGAAATGTACAACTTCCTGAGTACCCATTTTAAAATAGGGATATGCTTGAAAAAATTAATTTTAAACTTACCTCACATAGCTGGCCACTATTTTATCTGGCCTTTTTTTCTGAAGACCTTGCGTCACTGGTCAGACAAAAGCCAGTGGTTTGAATTTCATTGCTTCCTGTCACTTGTCATGCAGCTTAAAGGCTTTCAGGCAGCCACTGTACATCTATAACTACTAGCAACAAAGGAACTGCTTGAACTTCTTCCACAGCTAGAGCATGTGGCTCTGCCCTGATTTCTGTTGTGGAATAGTGTTAAAAGATGAACTTCAAGTTAATGAAGTAACTCAGAAGAACTTGGTTTCAAGATGCAATTGGTTATCATGTCAACTTGTTTAGAAAGTTGTTGAAAATCCTGACAGTGCTAATGTATAACTTCACCTGCTTGTTTTAACCCCAATTAAGCCCCCCCCCCCCCCAAAAAAAAAATCAACCCCCAACCATTCAAAATTAGATTACCTACTTCTACTTTAATGTTAAATTTAATCAAAATATTACATTTTTTAAAAAGATTTCAGTTGCAGAGAAAAAATTCTGAGTTACCTAGCTACTGTAAACTTACCTGTTCTGGTCCTTGTTGGTCACTATGATTAAAGCTGTACTCAGGCTCCAGTCACTCAAAGTTCTCCCAGTTCAACTGGTCTTTCTGCTTCTCTTCTTCCTGCCAGCCTGCCCATTTTTCCTGCTAACTCCATCACTACTCTTGTTCATCGGCCTAGCTGCCTCCCCCTGCCTTCCCCTCCCCTTACGGCCCTCATTACTGGTATTAATTTCTTCTTGACACTGAATTCAAACACATTAAAGAAAGGAAAGTTTCAATTACATTTATGGTATTTTTCTGTTTCTTTGTAGTGATCACCCTGTGCCCAAAGCGAATAGTACATCAAGGTTTGCAAGATGCAGACTTCCTAAGCCTAAACCAAATCTTAGCAGAGTACTGGGAACAAATAAGAATGTTCATCAGAAATCTCTTCGGCCAAATGCAGATGTGGAGCAATTCAAGCAAGTTCAAAGTGGTGAGCTTTTCCTTTATTTCCAAGCTTTAGAAAATAGGAGCCTACGGTTAGACTCCTAAATATGGAATTAGGAGTAGATCTGGGTGAATAACCTTTCTTGATAGGCTGGCAGCTCTGCAAAATTGGATACAAAAATTGTGGGGCAAATCAAATCCAAAACGTTTCAGTGAATCAAAAATTAATTTGGGTTCTAATGAAACAACGTATTTACAGGTATCTTTAAAAGGTGAGGAGGCAGCGGCCTTGTAACTTTTAGCCCAGTGGTTAGGGCATTCACCTGGGAGAGAGAGGACCTGAATTTAAATCCAGCTTCAGAGCTGGGATTTGAATCCGAGTCTCTCCCATCCCAAGAGAGGTCCCTTAACCACAAAGCTGTAGGGTATTCTGGGGTGGATTTGTCTCCATCTCTTCCTTTGAAGCTGTTCCATGTTGTAAAAACTACCTTAATAGCCATTGGGTCAGACAGAGTGGGTAAGAATAACTCTGTCGCCTGATGATTAGAGCACTGATATGGGAGACATAGGTTTGGATCCATGCTCTGAATCAGGAACTTGAACCCAGGTCTCTCTTCATCCAGGTGAGTGCCAGAACCATTGGGCTAAAAGTTAGAAGGTGGCTTTCTCCTCCTTCAATCATTTTGTGACTCTAGGCCAAATTTTTATTTCTGGATAAAACTATTTGGCACATTCAGGGCAAATTTTGCAAATTGTTTCAGATCAATTGAAACCGCATTTTTAAACTATTTGTCTGAAATATTTTGCCCAACTCTACTTAAGAGCCTACCTTTTTAGGTGTCTTTTTTCTGAAAATCTTGGCCATAAAACTAAAACAAATTGAAAACTCAGCTTCCTGTTCATGTCTACAGGCATGCATCAACATTTCAACAGCAGAGTATCCAACTATTAAATTCCATACCTGTCTCCTGTTCTTGTATCTCTTCTTTAAGTGTAACCATATTTGTCTTTGCAGTATTTTTTTTTTTTTTTAAATAGTCCCATAAGCAGTGGTGAGCTGGAGCTGGTTTGCACCGGTTCACTAGAACCAGTAGTTAAATTTAGAAGCCCTTTTAGAACTAGTTGTTCCGCGAGGGACAACTGGTTCTAAAAGGGCTTCTAAATTTAACCGGCCAAAAGTGGCACCTTAGGCACCAACTCCACGGGTGCTCCAGCCCTGGAGCACCCAAGGGGAAAATTTGGTGGGCGCAGAGCACCCAGCGGCAGCTCCCCACCCCACACCCGGCCCTAGCTCGCCTCCGCCTCCTCCCCTGAATGTGCTGCCCTGCTCTGCTTCTCCATCCCCCACCCCAGGCTTCCCGCGAATCAGCTGTTCGCGTGGGAAGCCGGGGCAGGCTGAGAAGCAAGCAGCAGCTTCCTGCTCAGGCCCAGGGAGGCAGAGGGCGAGGAGGGCTGCCAGTGCCGCAGCAGGTAGCTGGGGGCGGAGGAACCACTCCCCGCCCCAGCTCACCTCCGCCACCCTTGGCCTGAGTGTGGAGCTGCGGTCTGCTTCTCAGCCCGCCCTGGCTTCCTGCCAAACAGCTGATTCGCGGGGAGGGGGGTGTGCAGAGAAGCAGAGCAGGGTGATGTGTTCAGGGGAGGAGGCGGAGTGGAGGTGAGCTGGGGCCGGGCGCGAGGTGGGGAGCTGCCGGTGGGTGCTCTGCACCCACCAGTTTTCCCCGTGGGTGCTGGCGCCTAAGGCGCCAAATTTGATGTGATCAGTGGGGGAGCAGCCGCTCCCCCTGCTTCCCCCCCTAGCTATGCTCCCCCGCCCCTAGGAGCCAGAGGGACCTGCCTGATGCTTCCTGGGAGCTGCCCCAGGTAAGCACTTCCGGGACTCCCCACCTCGCCCCCTGGCAGGTGCCTCTGGCTCTTAGGGGTGGGGTGGGCACCCACTTTGGTGGCCTACGAGACCCTCCTGCCCGGTTCTGGGGGCAGTTGGGGACAGGGGAGGGGGGTGGATGGGGCAGAGGTCCTGGGGGGGATGTCAAGGAACGCGGGGGGGTTGGATGGGGCTGGAGTTCCGGGGGGCGGGTGTGAGCAACGACCTCCTCTTGGGGTGAGGAGGGAACCCATTGTTAAGATTTTGGCATCTCATCACTGCCCATAAGCTAATGCATGTATGGTAGTGTAAGGCATTCAAACAGTAAGTCATCTTGCTGTTGGTTGCAAAATATTACAATAGCGAACGTCATTTAATTTAATTTTTAAAATCTTAGAGGGGAAAGCTCTAAGAGAGACCATAGAAGAGCAGGAAGTGGAACTAGAATGGAAGATCAGACCAGCTGAGAACAGTTCTGCAGGTCTGCAGAATTTTGGATCTGGAAGCACAGACCTTGCCGAGTAAGTAAAGTGAACAGATATGAAAAAATCCTTTATTCATATGCTAATTGGTGTGTCTCTTAAATGTTTTGGACTAAAGTTTCAAAAAGTACATTTCAAATGGATGCATAAAACTGAGATCTATATCTATCTCATAGAGATATAGATATACACATTTAAATTGCGGGAAACTGACAATGGTGTCTGCAGTTGTTTTGGATGCACGACTTAGTTCCACAGTGTGGCAGGGATTTTTTTTGTTTGTTTGTTTAAGGCCTTTATGTACTGAATATCCTTTATGTAAGGCTAATGGAATCAAAACTTTTTGTATGTTTGGCAGAGTAGCCACTATTGAGTCCCAGGAACTGAGAAAGCAACTAGGTCCATTTTTCTGATGGATACTTTGGATGAAATTTATGGAGGTCTTGGTACACCTGTGGGCTGTTTGACTGTGCTTGCAGCTAATGGCTCACTTTGGATGCCTTTTGAGACTGAGCTAGGAGAGGTTTGTCAAATAAGGCATTCACCAAAAGTACTTACCCTTAGGAGATTTCTGTGGGGATTTTTAATATTTTTCCTTAATAGAGGAATGTATTTATGGTATAAAGCAGAGGTGGGCAAACTACAGCCCGCGGGCCACATCCAGCCTGCGGGACTGTCCTGCCCGGCCCCTGAGCTCTCAGTCAGGGAGGCTAGTCCTCGGCCCCTCCCCTGTTGTCCCCCCTCCCCTGCAGCCTCAGCGCGCTGTGCCGCCAGGGCTCTGGCCCACTGCTTCTGCCAGACAGGGTGGTGGTGTGGCTGCGAGCTCCTGCCGCTCTGAGCGGCATGGTAAGAGGGCGGGGAGGGGTTGGATAAGGTTCAGGGGATCCTGGGGGGCCGTCAGGGGACAGGGGTGGATGGGGCGGAGGTTTGGGGGGGCGCGGTCAGGGGAGCAGTGGGGTTGGATAGGAGGTGGGGTCCCAGGGGGCGGTTAGGGGCAGGAGTGTGGATAGTGGTTGGGGCAGTCAGGGGACAGGGAGCGGGGGGTTTGGATGGGGAGTTCTGGGGGGAGTCGGGGGCTGGGGTGTGGATAGGGGTCGGGGCAGTCAGGGGACTGGGAGCAGGGGGCTTGGATAGGGGGTGGGGTCCCAGGAAGGGGCAATCAAGGGACAAGGAGCAGGGGGGTTAGATGGGTCGGAGGTTCTGAGGGGGGCAGTCAGGGGGCGGGAAGTGGGAGGGGGCAGATAGGGGGCGGGGTCCAGGCTGTTTGGGGAGGCACAGCCTTCCCTACCCGGCCCTCCATAAAGTTTCACAACCCCGATGTGGCCCTCGGGCCAAAAAGTTTGCCCACCCCTGGTATAAAGTGTTTTTTGTATGATTTTGTTTTACTTTTTGCATAAAGGAAATATTTCAGCATACAGTAGCCATAACAGCCTTGTGGACTGTCTGATTTACCCCATGTCACAGTATATGTTACATACTGTTTAATTGGTTTCAAATTAACTGTATACATTTTTCAGAACAGAAAACAAGACAAGAGAGAGTTGGGAAGCTTCAGTGGAGTTAAAATCTCCTATAATAGCTCCAAAAGCAGAGATTTTCCTATCTGGGCTAGAGAATGATCCTAATCAAAGTTCTACTGGTGTCCTTCCGGAAGATAAGCCTGGTACTGTTATGCACAGCTTGCCTGAAGTTCAGTTGACGCAGGTAAAAAGAACTTGTATTTTTTTAAAACATTTGATGCATTAGAAATGCCTGTTTTTGTAAGAAGCTGTAAAAAGAGAAGTTATTTGGAGAAACTATAAAGAAGGCAATAACATTATTGTTTTTTAAAGTTTTCATCCATTCTGGGTAACTAAGTGAAATTTAATGGCCTGTGGTATTCAGGAGGTCAGTTCAGATCAGGGGTCTCAAACATGCGGCCCGCCAGGCCCCGCCTCCCCAGCATTTACTTAGAGCGGCTCCGTCCTGGTGTGTGCCGGGGCAGGGCAGGCTCCCTCCCTGCCTGCCTGCCCTGCCCCCACGCCGCTCTGGGAAGTGGCCAGGACCTGGGGAACAGGGGGCACAAGGGTCTGTGTGTTGCCCTGGCCGCTCCTCCAGGTACCTCCCCTGAAGTAACGGTTCCCTGTTCCTGGCCAATGGGAGTTGTGGGGGGGTGGGGTTGGAATGGGGGGGGCAGGGAAGGGGTGGGAAGAGGCAGGGCAGGGACAGGGCCTCACTGAAGGGGTAGAGTGGGGGCGGGGCAGCGGGGAGGGGGGTGGTCAGTGATGCGGCCCTCGGGCAATGTACTAGTTCTCATGTGGCCCTCGTGGTCATTTGAGTTTGCGACCCCTGGTTTAGATGAACTAATGGTCCCTTCTGGCCTAAAAAAAAATCCATGACTCCTAAATCACTTTTTCCTGATTGGATAATTTAGCCCTGAACTACCATAATGTGCACAGACATAGCGTAGATATGCAATGTTGGGATTTTCATGCACCCATAGATATGTCCACACAAATATCCCAAGTTGTGCTCCCCTTTTGAGGTATGCGTGCTTAAGTTGTGCACATTTGATTCTTTAGCCTTAAATTGTACTTTTAGTTTTGCCAAAATGCTATTATGATCAGACTTGCATTTCTATACCTACCTTCTCTCACTTTATTCAAAATTATTATTGGCCTTTTTCTGGCAAGATTTTAGATTGACAAGTTGGGTGAGGTAATATCTTTTATAGGACCAACTTCTGTTGGAGAGGGAGACAAACTTTCAAGCTTACACAGAGCTTTTCTTCAGGTCAGCTTGTCTGTTTCACCAACAGAAGTTGGTCCAATAAAAGATATTCCCTCCCCCATCTTGTCTCTCTAATATCCTGGGACCAACATGGCTACAACAACACTGCATACAAGATTTTAGATTGAACTTTCATGCTATTAATTGGCTAACAATTAAACAAACAAACTGAATGAAAAAACCCAAACCCTCCTAGTTATTCTTAGTTTCTTAAACCTTTGACTTGGTTATTGAATATACAGTACTTCAATCTAATGGAGGGCATTTTAGAGTTCCAATAAATTGCCAAGCTCTTTACTTCCTTTTTGATGCTAGCAGGGCATCAAGATCACAGCTCTTTTGTTTTGCCCTTTGCCAGTTGGTTCAGAGCTCAACTGACTTTATCCAAGCTGAACCGAGTGCAGGACTAAATATGCCCTGACAACACTCCTCCCCCAACAAGAGCGCTATAAAATACTATTTTTTAGCCACATAATCTGCCATGAAACTGAAGGGGAAGGAAGAATGACTAAGCTCAATGTTTTTCTCCAAGCTCCAGAGTGTTTCCGTAATAGGTAGGGGAATTGATGCTCTTTGCACTGCTGAGCAATCCATTATATGAGTCAACTTTGCAGGGTTGTGCTGTAGGAAAAGTAAACTTTTTTTTTTTCACAAACCATTTCTAGAGGGAATGAAGATAAAGTACGTATAAGCAGAACGCACAATAATGCTTATAGTTAAATACCCAAGTGTTCCCAGTCCCCATCATCTTTATATCCTTCCATCCTAAATACTTAGCGTAGTTTGAGGAGGAGGGGGGGAAAATCAACAAAATCTGGGTAGGGTGTGGTTAAATTACTCTCCTTTGTTACTCTTAACACTTGATAAATGTTTACAAAACAAAAGTCAATAATTCTTCATAAAACTTTTTCTGTTTTCTAGAGTTGTTTGCCAGGCTTGTTAATATTTCTTTTGAAATACTTTTTCTAGACTGAAGCAGTTACACAGGAGTTTCAACAGCAATACATAACCAGCACAAAAGAAACTTCAGGTACACTACATTAATGGCCTAAAATAGCAAAGCAATACTTGCTAGCCCAGCTAGGTGTAATATTACATCACTGTGTCTCAGAACTGCTTTTCATAATTTGTGTGTGTGTGTGTGTGTAAGTAAAAATAAAATGAAAACAAAATTAGTATGATAGAAGTACTTGTGCAAAGATGGATCAAGAAATGAAGAACTTTCTATGTTAACATTGATGTAACTGACCTTCTATAATTTGATATTAAAGTAGCTTGTGTTAGTGATATGCAGATAATTGATTTTTCGCTATTGTATATTTAAATTCATGCCACAAGTCACTGAAGAGACTTAAGTTTTGAAGCATTTTTAGATGTTGCCTCTGTAAGCTTACACATTTGAATGCAGAAGAAGATATTAAGTGGATAGAACAAACTAAGATGAATAAAAACAAAATTCAGCACCAATACCGTTTGAATAAGAAGAAAAAAACTCTGAATTAGGAATCTTAGACACTTACTTTAAAGGAATTCGTCTCACTGCTAACTAAGCTTGTAATTTACACTTTCAAAATGAAGGCATATGTGACTCCAGGCTCCTTATCCCATTGTGCCTTGTTATTGCAGAGATCTTGCAATAGTGAATCATCTTTCAAAACAAATGAACTGAGATAAAGAAGCAAAGTGAATTAAGAGTGGAGTAGTACTTTTAAATCAACAAAAATCAAGGGATTTCTGCATTATATTAGAGTTTTAGTTTTTTTTGTATAATTTAGATTTAACTTTAATTTTCAATCTTTTTCTTCAAAGCCATTCTTCACAAACTTTGTTCGGGGTACTCTAAATTTAGTGATAGCATGCTGTATGTAGTATATTTAATGTAATAGCTTGTTACTCTGTAGTTCAACGTGAAGAGCTAATTGGACAATGCTGACGTCTGCTAGATTTGGAAACTGATTCCTTGTCTTTAATTGCCTTCTTGTTAAATTCATCCTAACTGGTGGCAATTGGCTGCTATCTATCTGTTAATGTTTGATTCTTGGAAAAATCTTAGGGACTTGTCGAATGTTAGGATTGATACCCAATCCTACTGTAGCAATGTACCATCACAGGTTGTCTGTGGGACTAGAAGCTGGGACTACTGCCAAAATAACAGGCCTCTGCTGCTTTCACTAAAGGAGTAATTGTTAGCTACTGGTGGTGGTATTAGGTTCTTATCTTTGTGGATAATGGATGACTTGACTGATTTAATTAGCGTTGCACAAGCTTATAGAGCATCTGCTTATTATTGTGCTCATCTTTCTGAGTGAAGAGTACTGGCTGGGGCTCACCTCAGACACAAAACGCAGCTCTCAATCAGCTATAAGGATCACTGTGGAGTGATGCTAGGTTCCTCCCGTCTCTCCCTGAAGAGGCCAAGCATGTTTCCACAGTACTCCCAGCCTTTTCTGGCTTGAGCAACAAAATGTGAAAACCTAACTGCAGTTGTGGAGAAGGGCAGGATACAACACACAACTGCTAGAGTTTAAATAGTACACTTTAAATAGTAAGGTTTAATTCTCTCTCTCTCTCTCTTGTTTCCAACATCTTTTGGTAGTGAATGGAAATGGTAACGAATATCCAGAGGAGGTGGCGGAACAGACATTTATTTTAACATTGGTGGAAATTCCAGCTGACTCGAGAGAGTATCATGACCCATCTATGTCACTAGATCAAGCTTTGGAACCATTGCTGCCAGCCCCCATACTTCTCACTCCAGTGAATACAGGCTTAGCTAATGTGATGGGAGAGCAGAGGTAAATGATCAATATACTACAAGATAAATTTGCATTTATTTCTGAGCCTCTCAGGCTAACTTATTGGAGCCTCTAAAGTTAAATACACTCACTAAAAGAAGAAATGCAGGAGAAACCACTACATGGCTCATTTATCAGCCTCACTAAAACAAATGAAAGGTGATCGTGATTCTCTGAGCAATAAATCAGTTATGTAAATCTGCTAAATTTTGATGTGTTAAATATTTTGGTCATGTGCCAGCAGCACCATAGTCAGTGGGACACTTGCAAAGCCTAGTTCTATATTGACTTGAATATTTCTGGTGAAAAGTAATGGAAATTATAAATCTGAGCACCTTTATATTTTCTAAAGTATTTTGGATTCCATAGCTAAATCACTTTTTCCAGATTTTTAAGGTCTCACCTTTTTTGGAACACTTCGGTGAAAATGACAGAACATAAGAATTCTTTGTTTTAATTTTTTCATTCTGTTGATTAGTAATACTTTCCTTGAATAAAGACAGACAAAATTATTTAACTGATGTCAAACTAAGCTTACAGCAGTACAGGAAAACAACAAAGGGTTTGAGTATGACAGTGCATATTTTCACATCACAGTTGTTGAAATAGGTCTCACATTTCCATGAAATATTGCAACAAAATGTACACAAAGTAAGTTACAACAATATACTGTAAGTTAAGAGGAAGGGAAATCTTCCTAAGAATAACATAGTAATATGCTTTTAAAACTTTGACATGCTTTCTTAATGTATAGTTCTATTCCCGTGTCACAGCATGTGTGAAACAAAGCTCTTAGGCACTGAATTGGCTCTGTAAGCTCAGCTGTTAAGCCTGCTCCTTTCTCTGTTGAAGATCCTCCCCTTCAAGAAGGAGCCTCAGCCATACAGCTCTGGAGCTCCTGCATCAGAGAATTACTGCCTGTTGGGCGCCTGATGATGATAGGCAATGATACTGAGGGCTAGTAATGGAATATGTCTCTCAAGACCACCTGTATCCTTGTAGGTTCACCCTGCTCCCTTAATCACCTTCTGTGGCAGGCCAATTTTGTCCTGGTTGTTCCACAGGACTATCATCCTCCCCCAAGGGTGTGCCGTGGAAATCTAATAGAGACGAGACTGCAAGTATAAATACCCTGAGCATCTAGAATACTGTAACCATTACAGTAAAATGCAGTTAAAGTAATGCATGGATTGATTTATGTTCTCATGGAAATGGAGTTTAATTATTTGACAATTGTTCACATGATTATAGTAGATTAGAAGACATAGCTATAATTGACAGGAAGAACGCCCTTGGTGGTCAGGGATAGTACAGCAAAATGCAGATCTCAAAATACATGTTTTATTAAAAACATAGTTGTTCTTTTTTACAATTCACTGGAGCAAACACATCTTCTAGTATGCGATATCACACATACAAGTCACCTACTAACTCATAGTTGTGTTCGTACATGGAACACTTAACTTGCATATTAAGGAAAATGTAAATGAAATGCACAGTTCAAGCAGAAAATGAAACAAAATGTTAAAAGAACAAAACCTTTAAAAAGACTGACAGAGGGTGTCATGAGAATTCCTAGTTCCTCGTGGTTTTTAAAAAAAACAAAACCTTGCAAGGCTTATCTAAATGATAAAAACCTAAAAGTGTTTGAAGCGGTACATGTTGTAGATAAGAATATAAGCAAAGATTTGTGTCTTAATCATCTTATAACTTTGCTGTATACACTGCAAATTTGATTTTTAATTTATTTTAAGATAGTAACTTTTCACAGTGGTAACTTTGACACGTATTTATAATTACAGCATTGGATCACTGACGACTCCAGTTGATAAAGCTGCTACCTCTTTAGACACCTGTACAGGAACAGAAGGACTGCAGAGAGCATCAATAGAGTCATTTACTAATTTGGATCAGACATCTTGCAAAAGGTGTGCTATTGATCTTGAAAAAAGTGACACTCCTCCTGCCAAGCGAACTCCATCTACCTCAGCAGATGATAATCTTGCGAATACTTACAAGGTCAGATACTAATTCAGGAAATACCTTTTTATGCATACTATGAGAGTATTAACTGACTTCAAAATAATACTGTATTAACTAGGTTAATTACCCAATTTGAAATTTTTCCACGAAGCTTTTAAGCGGCAAAATGGAAGCTGTAAGTTGCTTTTTGTTTCAAACAGTAGGAATGCTAAATATTCTTTAGGCTCTAGTTTCTGTGTTCACTTTGTTGGGTATACTTATGGGCCCCGTTTTCCATTGTACTTTTTACTTGATATGCTTTGTATTCTTCTTAATTGTTTCTGTGCGTTCACCCACTTTAATTTTTTTTGATGGTGCAGTTGCAGCAGGGGAAGCTTCAGGCATATGCTGGTCACGTGGCTGTCTTGTTTCAGGGAAGGGTGCATCATGATTCTTGGAGGAAATTCATTACAGGAAAAAGCTATGTGGCTAGAAATATCCCCATCCCTCTTTACTGGGGCGCTAGCTGCAAAGGGAAACTGGACGAATTTCCCATACTGTGGGGTGACCAATTTATTTGGAGTGACTTACATGTATTTTTGCTATTGAGTACAATATGTTTTGAGGTGTGGGGAACTCTACACTATGATTTCAACGACTCCAGTGGGAACCTTGAGAATTCCCCCAGCTTCCTTGCTTTTATGCTTTCTGAACTTGAGGCCCCTGTCATGGCTATCTGGTAATACCCTGAAAGCCTGCTTTTCAATCAGCACTAGGGGACACAAGTGACAAAGGTCCCATCACATTCCTGAGAGTTGAAGACCTTTTCCTTCCTATTGTTTGTCCCCAGCTGATTTAAGATCTGTAAATGTATAATCTTATTACTGTACTAACTTTTATTGTGCTTCTTTGAAAAAGAGAAATTGACTTTTAAATGTTGTTTAATATAGGAGTCTTCAGTTAAATCAACACATGCTCCAAGGAAAATGGCTGGTAGGTGAATTTTTGAGATTTAATGTATGTGGAGTCACTTGTAAATGGTAGCTAACATTAATTGCCGTTTTGCTAACTAATCCTACCAGCGGCAATGTATTCATAAGGGGAAAATTGTCTTCTATTCACTTTAATTGCCAATTACCTGCATTGGGATTAGGTGTCTGGCAAAATTTTATATATTCATGTTAAAATTCCACTGGCTTCAAAAACATTACTATATTTGGAGCCTTAAATGAGATGATTTTCATGAATTTTAAGAGCGGCCTCTTATTTGTGCATTTCTAAAAGTAAGATCTATTTATTTATTTATTTATTTATTTTATGGTTGGTGGGTTTAAAAAAGAAAAAAAAAGCAACCCCAAAAAATTAACAAGCAAAAGATACCTCAGATATATAGAAGTGACTCCCCGTTCAAGGTACTTTTTAGAACTTGTGCATAAAGGCCACAGGAAAGATCTCAAATACAGAGCCGAAAGGAATTTTTTGTTAATTAGCTGATACGTTTCCACCTGTTTGGAATGGAGCAGTTAACCGATGATTTGTATTATGCCAAACTACCTTTTTGTGCATTTACAATTCTAACCAGATCAGCAGAGGTCTTGTCTTAGCTGCTATGAAGTCCCAGCAGAGCGAATGTGAAATGTTAGTGGGACCTCATAATATAGTGGAGATGCTTTATTTTTAATATCTCTGTAATTGAATAAAGAATCTGGATAATACAGGGCTTGATCTGAAGCTCCTTAAAGTCAATGGAAAGACTTATAATGACTTCTGTGGGCTTTGAATCAGGTCTACAGCTTGCATGCATGTCAGGAATGATAGTCTCCCTCTCTACAATTTACAACAGTGGTTTTATTTTTGGTCACCTTGTTACTAAAAATATGTGAACATGTTGGAAGGAGTTCCAAGAAAATCAACCAAAAAAAAAAGAATAGGGGACTGGAGGGTCTGACATATGAGGAAAGACTAAAGAAACCAGATATGTGTAGTTTCTTAGTTAAAAGGCTTAACTGAAAGAAGGATTAGCCTACAAATATTTGAAGGATGGAAACATCGGAGGCATAATATTTGAGCTAATGTAAAAAGAAGGGATGTAATTGTAAAAGAAGTGGAATGAAATTGAGGGAAAAAATAGTAGATTGAATATCAGAAATTTCCTGACAGTGAGATCTGTTTAGCACTTTGCACTTGTATAGGGGATTTCAGAGTACTACTTTTAAGTTGTGCAATACTCTCCCAAAAAAAATTATGGAAGCCCCTATTTGGAAAAATTCAGAATGGGGCCAAGCCCTAGAAAGTATAATAGAGGAGAGCATTCTGCCTTAGCAGAAGGTAGGTTGCATGACCGAATTGATTTTTTCCAATTCTAATGTCTGTGTGATCTGGTAAGGTTTTCAGGTCCAAAAATACAACCTATTTAAAAAAAAATTAATAGTATCTTTTGAGAAACTTAGCTTGCTTGCGTTTATTTAAAAAACAAACAAAAACAAAAATAACACTAGTGTCAGTTGTAATGCCCCAAAACACTTCGTCTTTTAATATCATCGCCACCACCACAGTGGTTTGGACCATGATGTAGAATACTAATATTATAAAAATATTAAGAGTATAAGTTCAGTCAATAAGAAATGTACATTTCCCATTTATGCTTAATATTAATTTTTTCCCTTAAAGGGAGAATTTCTGAGAAATTGAAAACTTCAAAGAAGAAAAAACTACCTACCTCTATATTTGTATCTAAAACTGCAGAAAGTGGGCAATCTGAATCCTTTCAGAATTTAGGAACTGTACCAGTTGAGGAATCGGCATGCAAGTGTTCAGATGAGCTGGTGTCTGGAATGGACCGTGAGGGAAAAGAAGCAGCAAATGAGCAAGAAAGTTCTATGGATATTTGTGAATCTGGACATTCGGGACATGTTGGAAGCACAGCTGCCCTTTCAAAGAGCCTGATGCTAAGGTATTTCTAGGAACACTGGTTCTCAGCCTTTTCATACTGAATACCCCTTTCTTATCAGGACTTGCACACGGTGATCCTTCTACTTAGCATTGTGGTAAGAGCAGGATAGACATAATCCCAGGTTAAAAACCCATACACTAGAACATTGTCCTTCCTTTTCTTCAGCAAAAAACTAGAAAGGATCAGCTTTGGAATTTGAAATACTCTAACCATGGAATGGTAACGGCGTAGTTAACAGAAAAGGAGTACTTGTGGCACCTTAGACTGTATAAAAACATCCTCACTGCATTTTCCACTTTTATGCATCAGATGAAGTGAGCTGTAGCTCACGAAAGCTTATGCTCAAATAAATTGGTTAGTCTCTAAGGTGCCACAAGTACTCCTTTTCTTTTTGCGAATACAGACTAACATGGCTGCTACTCTGAAACCTTAGAGACTAACCAATTTATCTGAGCATAAGCTTTCGTGAGCTACGGTGATCCATGCTGTCCCATGTTTTTCTGGCAATGTGCCTCAGTGAACAGATAGCTCATGCCTATTAAGTATTTGGCTTTTCTATTTACACAGCCGCCTTTTGTGATGTAGACTCTGTTCACTAGCATCTGGACTTGGGAAAACCAGATTGGTAGCTTTAATAAACCATTTCTTTTAATTGCCCCGTCCTGTGCTGTAGTATACTGTATAAACATATCTGTGTCTTTGAACTTTTCAGTTAAGTAGTAGCAATTAATACACTCAGTGTGCTCATTCTTTAGAGCTGTATTAAGACATGTCACTGCCCTACAGAGTTTACAGTCTAGACAACAAACAGAAGATGCAACATTACTCTTTTATTCCTTCTAATGTTCCTTTTAATATTTTTTTATTTACCTTTCCCTTATATTTTAGTTCTATTCCTCTAAGCATCACTTATTTACTCATCATTTTACTTTTCCTACAGTCATAGGTTTTTTGTAACCCTCTACTTTTCCCTGTCCTAGTAGCATTTACCATAGCCTATTGGCCCCTGATGATTTTGCCCGTCCTCTCATATCATTGTGGTGTGTGGGGTTTAGTTGTTGCTTATTTGTATTCCAGTGTCAACCACAATATATAGGTGCTGCCCATGCATAGAAAAAGACAGTCCCTGCCTTCAAGATTACAATCTAAAAAGTGACTCTGGGCTTTTGCCCAAACTTTTTTGTTCCTCAGTTAACATTAAGTAACCGTTCACTGTGACTGGCTGTACTGATGTTGGTAGAGTGAAGATCTGGTGCTGTTCCTGCTCCAAGGAGTGTCTTCCTTCTGTATTCTGGGATGCTTTCTAGGTTGCCCTTGGGAAAGTGGGATTCCTCCCTCATGTGGTACATTAGAGGAGGCCTGTGGAAATGACACATGAAGGGATTCTCTCCTCTTTTGTGAGCTAGAAGTTGGCTGGTCTCCTCTACAGCTGTTCCTGTTGCTAGGAGTATCTTCTGCTAAAGATCTGGGAGCTTATGTTGGCCACTCTTGAGTAGTGAATGGTGGGCTCCCCAGCTCCCACACTGTGGTGGCATGGAGGCTGTTAAAGGCTTTTACAGCTCTACAAGGAGCTTTCTCAGCTCTGTACTGCTTAAATAATCTGGCAAAAAATGTTATTTTTCCAATTCAGAGAATAAAAAACAAAACGTAAAAAACCACCAAACGCAACAAATCCTGGGGTTGATTTAACCTATTCCAAATTATTTATTTTAGAATGTTTTAATCATCTTCATATAATTTAGAAGTCTTTGCAACTAGATTGTAAGTCAAACTCTCATTAAATACAAACAATATTTCTACTCCATTTTCATTAAGCAAGATGACAATATTATATAAACCTTGAAACTTTATTGTTAATTTTTGTTGTTTTGAACAGGGCTGGCCGAAGACCTCTGGGATTTTTATCTTTAATTTGTAAATCAAGTATCTCTGAACCTGGAGAGGGTGCTAAAGGGAATGGACAGAGACTCCAAAAACCTCTCATAGCTGCCTCAAAGCAAAGTCTGAAAAGACCTACTCCATCCGCTGAGAACAATACAGACACTCAAGAGTCCTGTTCCCTTCCCTCTACAAGCCCTTTGACATCCGCTGAATGTGAGAATAGAGGCACTGCTGCAGTTCAGGTACATACAGTTACCTCTGAACATCATGTCTGTATGAAATGTAAAGCACTACTAGGAGACAACCATTTGTGTGTGTGCAAAGTGATCACTGTGACATTCTTTTATAGATTTGTGGACTCTTTGCTTATCTGTATGCCATGAAGCTGAAGAACAAAAGGACTATGTTGAATAACAGGAAAAACAAACCACAGTTACGTCAACTTTTTTTAAATGTTGGAGAGTCTCTTAGAACAATGCTCCAATAACAACAGCAAAGGCATCTTAAAATTTGGAATTAATGTTTCATTTTATATGATATTTTATTTCTCCCGGTTTCTGCCTACACTTCTGTCTTAAATCAGGAACCTGAGGTCACTGCTTTGAGCACATCAGGTGGAGAGCAGACCCAGGGAGCTGACCACATATGTCTCTGAAAATTCAGCATTTGCCACTTTACCGAAAGGAGCCAGCTGTGTAGTGTTATACTTGCTGCAAAGTGTAGGGGGGAGCCATAACTGAACAGTTACAAATGCAGCTGCTTGATTACATCCCATCTCATTTGTACTGTTTATTTCCTCTCCCTAAGGAGGAGATTGTGTTTTGTTGATATGAAATCTCCCCAGATTCTCTGTTCTGATCTCTTGAGGTCACATTACATTTTCCACATTAAGCAAAACTGAAACAGGACGTGTATCCTAAAATAAGTGTCTGCACACAGACTTGCACCAGAATAACAAAGATTTAAGTGCTTTACAAACACTTTGAATATCTAAAACACAAAATAAGGATAATTGTTTGCAACCCCCATTAAATCCCTAATAAATTGCTCCCAAAGGTGGTTTTAGAGGTTTGCCGTAATCACTTGTCCTGCCAACGTTTCCCATTAACTTGAATGTCCTTCCTGACAAAACTCCTTAGGCTTTTATTTGGAAATGCTAAATCCCTCGAAGTCCACTCAGCTTTCATTACTTGACACTATGTTGTGCTTGTTTCCAAGAGACCATATCTGATTGCGTCTTGCTGCAGCAGCTTGACGACTCTGTTTTGGGGGTTATGTCATCTCACGTTTTGTGAGAGGTATGTCTGCTACATGTCTGCCTCTGACTTGTGTATGTCTATGAAATTTGCAAAGCAGCCACATCGTCTTCTCTGTACAAGTTTACCTACTTGAGATCAAGTTTACTTGCTTGAGATCAAATTTCCATTATTACCTTAGCAGAAATATCACGTGAACCCATCCTGTGTGACTTTGTAGTTCTGTGCTCAGGGCACCCACTCAAGAGTAGGATTCCATTAAATTTTGTATCTTTAAAGAATAATTGTTACAGGTAATAGCTTGATCAGTTAAAATCAATCTACCTGACCAAGTAAATGAATGGAAGATTTGAAGGATGGTTGTACTACAGTTAACTTGGTGTATCCCAAATTATTCTCTGAAACAATTTTGCTTGGGGAAATCTTTATTATGTTGGTAGAGGGAGGCCTGTTGCTTTTACATTTTAAGTGAGTGCTGAAACTTACCACAAGACTCTAGTTTGTACACAAGATGAGGCATAGATGCATGAGAAACAACAAATCTCAGTAGATGTCAAACCTGTAAATGCAGTTTTTTTATATTTTGGTAGATTTCTTCTGAGTCTTCTGAGAAGCAAGCTTCCAGTACTAAACAGGAGAAAGAAGAGGAGCCAACCAGAATCTCGGAATATTTTTTCAATGATATCTTTATGGAGGTGAATGATTCAGAATAAACCTCTGGGATCCAAGACTGCCGTGTAACAGCAGAACTGTGTATAAATGAGTTGCTGTGAATTCTCCTTTGTTCTTCCTTAGTCCTAATTTATTACTAGCCTCGCTAATGGAGAATAACAAGCACTGTTGGAAGACCAAATCAGTTTTTCTCGTTCTGGGCAATCTGAGCATTTTTCAAATTTTTAAGAACTAGATTGGCATGATGAGACCAAACAGCAGCTGTTGGCTTACACTGTAACTTTTCTAGATGCAGATGCTGGGTGCATGACTACCTTCTAGAAGTGCAATGAATGAATGACTATCCACATGACAATATCCCTTTAAATCATAATGCTGAAGCTTGTTGGGCTGGTTATAAAAGTTATTTGCTATACTTCTTTTTGTGAAGTTCCACTCCAGGAAGGAGAATTACCTTCATATTTATCTCCGTTGATAGAGAAGCAATTCTAAAAGCTTAGTGTAGTAAATACATTAAAATGTTTTCTATTGACGGCTATTTTATAGTCTTCTCCAAATTACATATTTTTATAATGACAGATTCACAGGTACATAAGCTTAAAAGCCCTGATGGAGAAAAAATTTTTAATCCCTTTTAAATGTACAGAGATAAACATGAAAGACTATATTTATTTAATTTTAATTTATTAAAAGATGCTATCCCATGTTAATCCTTTTTCATCTGTCTGATTTGGGGGTGAGGAAAAGATTAACGTATCTCCCATTGTAAATGCTTATTTCTTCCTAAAGTAAATATTTAATACAATAGGCTGGATTCTACTCTTGCACTGTCTTTTATATACTCATGTAACTCCATTGACTTCAGTGGAATTTCCCTAGTATAAATCAAGAGTAACTGCGAGCAGAATCAAACCCAGAACTACTGAGTGAGGATGCTTTGAGGATTTGCTACTTTGAAACCGTTAAGTTAGAATGGTTTTCCTCATGTTTCCTGTCTACGTTTTGTTCACTAGCACAGTGTAACTTAGTTTTAGGGTGGTATTAGGTTTGTCACAGGAAGACTAATTTTCCACTTATGTAATAAGGAAAAATTGCCTTGACAAGTTGAGTCACATGGTCTCAATCTTAAAATCAGGCATTCTTCTAAAAGATAAATATATTTTCATTCTTAAATTTTTGACTTCTTGAAATGAGTAGGTAGATATTTTAAATTAGACTTCGATAAAGTCTGCATTTTTCTCCTTGGTTAAATGTTCGCCGCTGGAGATCAAGGATACAGAATAGACTTTCAGAACATGGGATTTACATAATGTCACATACCTCAAGATGAGTATCTCCCTAATTATGTTCCTTAACAGTTCTGAAGACCCCCTTCAAACCAGAATTACTTTTTTACTCTTGCTTCACTTGCCACAGGTCAGTCAGAAATGCATAGTATATGTTTGTTTACCTTACAGGTTGTGCTTCTACCTTTAATTTGTATTTTGTGAATGGGTCTTGCCAAAATGAAAATGATTCTTAATGAGAAAGTAATTTAAAATATTTTGCTAAATTTGGTATTCAAACTATTTTTTAAGATTATTTTGCCACCCTCTGCAAAGAAATATCTACTCTGTAGGGTTGGATGGTGATTTACTAGCAAATCCATAATTTATTTTCTAATTATAATGATTATCAGATTTCTCTTGAATCACTTGCTGAGACTTGAATTTTTATCCTTTCAGAAGTTATTTTTTGACTTGTAGCTTCTAAAGGAGCCTTCAAGACTGGAACAATAATCAAAAATAGACCAGCTATTAGGAATCATTAAACTAGAAGACCAGATCACGTACTTTATAGCAGCTAAATGTGAGAAGTGGTTACAATTTTCATGCTACAGTGGAAGGGGAAAACTATCCTACAATAGAATGGTTTTCCCTTGTTTTTCAAGTAAATGACAACTTGCATTTAAAAAATGACTGTACAAATGGATCCAATCACATGTCCATTTTCAGCCTAGTGTCTCATGGTTTGACTATTTCATTTTAACTTGAAATACCCATTTTTTCTCCTACTGTAAACACTGCAGTAATAGATTAACATTGTATACATGTAGCTAAGGCTATTGTACATCTTGTAGGGTCTGGTTTTTGTATGCAAATATTTTGTTAGTTATTGTTACATGAGGCATGTTGTATTTTAGAATCAGGTAAACCAGTTAGATCATCCCCGCTAATATGTTCTCAAAATTGATTTGTGGAGGAGGACGCTATAAAATAATGTCCTCTAAGTACCTACTAAAGTAGTAAAGATTAATTCATAGTATTTCAGATGCAATTCAAACGACAAGGCAAAAATAATTTGTATTTCATAAATTATAAAGAAACGACAAAATTTGTGGTGCCTTATTTATCCCTATTAGATGGAAGGGACAACAGACCTTGTTCTTGTTGTTTTTTCACAGCAAACCATGTGCACTTTGTTATCAATATCTTTTGAAATGAATCTCATTTCTTTAGAGGAATAAGATAACGTGTGTTTTCCGTGTTGGATATGAAAGTTGTATAAGTCATAGTGATGGAAGGAAACAGAACAGCATCCTGTGTTAAGTTCCACTGATCAATGGTTTATCATTTCTATTAAGATGTGGCAAAGGACTGCTTTCCTTGAAGAGTTCTTTGATAAACATATGTAATATTGTTCATGCGTAAGTTTTCGGGTTCAAAGAAAGCAGTCTGTTCTTTATGTAAATTATGTAAATAAATACTTTTATATCACTTGTGTATTTGATCTTACTTTAGCTGTCTTAACAAAACTTTTAGCAATAAACAAGTTTATAATGATCTAAAAGAAGAAACTTTTGAAGGTAATGAGAGTTGAATGGCTAAGGTTCCCATATTAGCACTAATGCTATGTTTTGCCGTCTGTTCACCCTTGCAACATTTTACTTACTTTATTGTAATGGTGGGTGAGTAGATTTTATTCCTTGATTTGGCATGTTTTATAGCAATTTTGCAACATTCTTTTAATTACATTAATTTTTTTTATTTTGAAAACTTTAGTTTTTCCATTCACAGCTTAATTTAGAGCCTGATATTTCTAGTATGAAAAATGTTCCAGTGTTTTCTTTATGTAAATATTCTAGACTGAGAGAAGATCAAAAAATTAAAACCTGATTTTAAACCTTCTCTGCTTTAGAAAACGGTTTGGTTTTGTTTTTTTGGTGGGGGAAGGGAGAAAGATTTGAAAGGCCTCCAGCTTTCACCCTGACCACACCACACGATCCATCGTCTACAGCCAAGCTCTGCGATACAACCGCATTTGCTCCAACCCCTCAGACAGAGACAAACACCTACAAGATCTCTGTCAAGCTTTCTTACAACTACAATACCCACCTGCAGAAGTAAAGAAACAGATTGATAGAGCCAGAAGAGTTCCCAGAAGTCACCTACTACAGGACAGGCCTAACAAAGAAAATAACAGAACGCCACTAGCGGTCACCTTCAGCCCCCAACTAAAACCCCTCCAACGCATTATTAAGGATCTACAACCTATCCTAAAGGATGACCCAACACTCTCACAAGTCTTGGGAGACAGGCCAGTCCTTGCCTACAGACAGCCCCGCAACCTGAAGCAAATACCAACAACCACATACCACACAACAGAACCACTAACCCAGGAACTTATCCTTGCAACAAAGCCCGTTGCCAATTGTGCCCACATATCTATTCAGGGGACACCATCACAGGGCCTAATAACATCAGCCACACTATCAGAGGCTCGTTCACCTGCACATCCACCAATGTGATATATGCCATCATGTGCCAGCAATGCCCCTCTGCCATGTACATTGGTCAAACTGGACAGTCTCTACGTAAAAGAATAAATGGACACAAATCAGATGTCAAGAATTATAACATTCATAAACCAGTCGGAGAACACTTCAATCTCTCTGGTCACGCAATCACAGACATGAAGGTCGCTATCTTAAAACAAAAAAACTTCAAATCCAGACTCCAGCGAGAAACTGCTGAATTGGAATTCATTTGCAAATTGGATACTATTAATTTAGGCTTAAATAGAGACTGGGAGTGGCTAAGTCATTATGCAAGGTAGCCTGTTTCCTCTTGTTTTTTCCTACCCCCCCCCCCCCCCCCAGATGTTCTGGTTTAACTTGGATTTAAACTTGGAGAGTGGTCAGTTTAGATGAGCTATTACCAGCAGGAGAGTGAGTCTGTGTGTGTATGGGGGTGGGGGGGATGTGAGAAAACCTTGATCTATGCAGGAAATAGCCCGACTTGATTATGTAAAGAGTTGTCACTTTGGATGGGCTAGCACCAGCAGGAGAGTGAATTTGTGTGGGGGGGTGGAGGGTGAGAAAACCTGGATTTGTGCTGGAAATGGCCCACCTGTTGATCATTTTAGATAAGCTATTACCAGCAGGACAGTGGGGTGGGAGGAGGTATTGTTTCATATTCTCTGTGTGTATATAAAGTCTGCTGCAGTTTCCACGGTAAACATCTGATGAAGTGAGCTGTAGCTCACGAAAGCTCATGCTCAAATAAATTGGTTAGTCTCTAAGGTGCCACAAGTACTCCTTTTCTTTTTTTAAAACCCTGGACTCTATACTTATCTGCATGTGTTTGACTAAAGTTCATTAAAATTCGAAAAACATTAAGGCCAGATCATGTCCCCAGGCCCTTCTACAGTGTTTATTTTTGGCGGCGGGGGGAGGGGAGGAAGAGGGGAAGTCCATGCTATAAATTGTAATCTGATTTTGTTTAATTCCATCTGAAAAATTAATCATGCAAAAATCTTTTTTTAAGCACTGGACTGCACTCCAGTAGTTCTGTAACAATGTTACATTTGGGCATATGATAGGGAGAGGTAGATACTTTCAGTCTTCTTCTTTTAAAAGGACTTCTATCTGTGAAAGTCTTGCACACATGCGCACACACACACATATATGACTTCCACAGTAATTCTTTTATATATTTATGACTAATATACAAAAACCATATTGAATTACCAGAGCTACAGTATTTATATTTAAGGGACTGTCCCCTGAAGCTCATTATCTTCTTTACTCCTGCAACAAATTTATAATGCTGCATTTTTATAACCATCATTTCTGTAGGAATAAACAACATCAAGGGATTCTTTCTCTTCAGGATGAAACTGAAAAGAACCTTATTTAAACACATCTTCAATAATAAAGGAAAAAACAGAAAAATACTGTCCGCATTATACATTTACTTTATTGCAATGTGAAACAAATTCAGCGTGTTACTACAAGTAGGAAACAGCCTCTTTTTGGAAAATCAGGACCCAATTGCCAGTTGAAGAAAGCTCTTTTCCAATACTGGACCAGAGATATCAATAGACAATAGTTTTATACGAACATCTGCACTTACCTGATGGCGACAGAGAAGGTTATTTGCCAGTAGGATAAGTACTAGGGATCAGTGATAAAGTGACTGATCTACACAGGTTAGAGGAGTGAGTGTGTGTGTGTGTTTAAACTTAGGGAGAAGGCTCTCCTAGTCATGTCACAAGGAAAGCACTGATATCCTTTAGGTGCAACTGAATTCCTGATCCACCATAACCTTCCTCATCCCTTTTGAGACACTACTTTGGATAAACATCCTAGTTTTAGGCCTGATCTACACTACAAAGTTAATTTCACAAAATTTGCATTGACCTAGTTGTGCACCTCTACATTTAAAGTTGTTTTCCACTGTTGTAAGTGCCCTATTATGCTGACATAGTAACCACCTCAAGTGGCATTGAGCCGTGGTTGATGTATGTAGGTCATCGCAGCGTGAGTAGACCCTGCATTACCTGTGTTGACATTAACAGTCCTCCAGCCATTGTCCAACACTGCCTGACATTGACTACTCTGCTCACAATTGTGAATTCCACTGCATAGGGACATGTAGACCAGACGCTTGCCTGCGCGGGCCCCCCCCCCCCCAAAATCCCTGTAAATTTCTGAATTGCCTTTTCTTGATTGTTCAGTTGAGCGAGCATACCCAGCAGCTCTCCGCTGTGTGCAATGGCCTAGCTACCCACGACTCCAGTTGTGTTTCTGCCTGAACTAGAGGGGAGATGCTGGATCTCCTGGCCTATGGGGAGAAGAGGCTGCGCAAGCACAGCTCTGAACCAGCCACAGAAATGTCAGAAGATTGCTCAGGTGTGCAAGAAAAGGGTTTTGACAGGGACGATCAGCAGTGCTGCATGAAAGCCAAGGAATCAGGCATTACAGAAGGCCAGGGAGGCCAACCATTGATTTGGTGCCAAGCCGCGGACCTGTTGCTTTTGCAAAGAGCTGCATGCCATACTTGGCAGAGACCCTACTACCAGCCTGTACGCCACTGTGGAAACTTCTGAGAGGGGGGGGGTGGAGGATGCGTACAAAACAATTTATGTACCCAGGGATGTCCTTTGAATCCTCCTGAGAGATCTTGATCATCTGCAGTCCTCTCAGGTTTCTACAGATTACAGACTTATTCTTCCTCTGCAGTAGGACACTTTCTCAAGCCATTCAGCAATAACTTCGGCAGGCACCTGTGATGCTGGCAGACCAGATGCCAGCTCATGTAAAGGCCCCAGGTCTCACTGAATGCTTACAGATGCATAGCTAGGAACCAGTCTTGCTTATTAGATCTGAAGTTCATAAGAATGTGTTTAGTGTTTTATAAAATAATTGTAGGATGCTGCATGTATTGTTCTCACTCAATACCCTGTTATAAAGTGATAGCAAGCATTTGCATAGTCTGACTATGTAACTTATCAAACAGGGAAAAAGCCTTGTGTAATGCAAATAATGGTCTCTAACAAGAAGATGTTAAATCCTGTTCATTAAACGCAAATGAGCCATTGTGCAAGATCAATTATCAGACTTTAAATGCATTCTTCCCTCCCTCCTTTTCCCCCATGATGAAGGGACCTGTGTGGCAACTGTTGTAGTCAGTTTGATTTCTGTGAGACGCTATAAGTATGGACACACAGAAAAATTCTTCATTTCTTGACTGTTTGGATTCTAAAAGTGCAGAATAACCAAACAAGAAGATAAAGATTCCTAGAGTTACTCTGCACAGCCCTAAAAGACTTTTGGAAAGCTGGCAGATTACTACATCTCTGCTATCTTTTGAAATTATAGAATGATTCACCTGTACGTATATTTTTATTTGCTTTAACCTTTCAATAACTCTCATTCCTTTTTCTTAGCTAATAAAGCTTCAGTTAGTTTACTACATAATTGGCTACCAGTGTTGTCTTTGGTATGAGAATTAGGATGCAAATCGACCTGCAGTGACTGGTCTCTTGGGACTGGGTGTAACCTGAATACTTTGATTTTTTTTTTTTTAATATAAGCGACCATTTATCACTAAGCCCAGCTTCCTGGGTGGCAAGATAGACTGGAGACCCCAAGAGGACCGTCTGTGACTCCATGGTAAGACTAGTACAGTGATCCAGGAGTTCTGGTTAAATCTAATTATAGAACATACCTGGTTTTGTTACTGGTGAAATCTAATTATAGAACATACCACCAGTTTGGGGTTTCTGACCTGTTTTTGACAATCTGCTCTGTGGTAGGCACTCATGGTTGTGAGCTACTCTAGACAGTGTGACACCATTGCCTTAAACAGGCTAGTAACATATGGGCCTAGGCAACTTCAGGATGTCAGCAGCAGCTGTGCTTTCTCTGCCTTTGTCACCCCCAGACATGAGATATCAGCTTAAACAACCACTATCACTGGAAAATGTTGCCATT